GAGGCAGGGAAACAAGATCCCAGTGAGTCAGCCTGGTGGGGTGCTTTGAAACCTGGTAGGGAAGCACAGGCAGGGCAGGTTCTGCTGCAGCCTTGGGAGCCATCTTCCCCCAGCTGGGACCTTCTCCGTCTCTCCCTGCTCACTCAAGGAAAGCAGATCACCCTCCAAACTGGGGCAGCTTGTGGAGCCGCTATTCTCTCCTTCCAGGATAATGCTGGCGTGGAGCCACTCTGTCTCCATCCATTCCAGTGAAGTGGTTCATCATCTAAGCAGGAGAGCTGCCAAAACCTGTCTTGGAAGCAGAGCTTTCCAGTGGTCAGGCTCAGCCCCAAGGCAGCAGCACAGAGGGCATTGCGCAGAGATGACCAGGGCAGTAACTTTGCTCTGTCAGCCTGTGCCACCCCCAGCAGTGTTCACATCCCCCGGGCCTCCTGGAGATGCCATGCTTTGGGTGGGAACCTGCTCCCAGAGACAAAGGCAACCCCTCCAGGAAGGCATGATGTGTGTTTGCAGGCATTTGCTGAAACCCACCTGAGTCACCCCTGTGCTGCAGGCGTGCAATGGGGTGCAGGGCAGGCTGGACAGAAGCATCTGCAGGAGCGTGTTGGCTCTTCACAGGAAGATGCTGAGCTGCAGCACCAAGGGCAGCCATGCGGGTGGAAGGACAGCAGGGGCTGGAAACAGCATGTACCCCAGGCGAAGGTTTCTTCTAGAGTAGGGGAACATTTCCTCTGTGCTTTTCTGTGGGCTTGTAAGATGTGGTCCTCAGAGGTCCCCGCAATCCTGCTTGGGAGACCCTATGTCATACTGGACCTCCACTGGATAATCCAAGTAAGCAGCAGGTTGGGAAAGGATGGGAAAGAGATAACTCTCCCTTTCTCTTGCCTTGGCTGCAATAACAGCACCTTCCTTCTGTGAACCCTCTCTCTGTAATGTGGCTGGGATGTGAACCCAGGGCTCCTGTTGGCCTTGTGGTGCCCATTCCTGGGTACTGCAGGGGGCTCCATGCTCAACATCCCACCTTGGATGGAGAAATGCAGAGCATTTCAAGGAAGGGGTGTCACACCAGGGTGTTTCCTGCAGAGAACTGGGCAAAGTTTTGACACCCAGCCTCCTCTTCATCTCTCACAAAATGCCTCTTGTGAGCAGCATGAGGGTTCACCAGCCAAGGGGGTGTCAGCTGGGTGTTTGAATGACTTGCAGCAGCCCAGGTATCCCAGTCCTGGTGTTTCAAGAACACCACAGAACACAGACAATGAAGGTTCATCTTCCTGAGGATATGAAGCTTTCGCCTTTCTTTCATGGTCAGTAAACTTGTATAAATCCCCCCACCTGAGTTCTGGTGGGAGCCAGAAACCAAAGGTTGCACTGTTGCATTGCCAGACTCCTGTACCAGCCAGGGGCTCATCTATGTCCAGCCTGGTTTGGATCAAAATCATAAGAAATCAACAGAAATAGGGCCCTGGGTGACTGCTCTCAGCCTTGTGGGCAGAGTATCTCCATCCCCTGCAGGTGTACCTGCTGGAGTCCCTCCACTTCTGCACAGGAGGAGCGATGGTTGGGGGCAAGATCCCACTGGGCCTGAGCGTGAAGGTCCCTTTGCTGGATTCCATGCTAAAGGCCCAGCTCTAAGACATTGTCATGGCATTGCTGAGGGACTGTGCCTTTCAACAATGTTTGTCTCTGCTGGGCTGTGCAATCAAACTTGTCCCTGCCCAGGCCATGTCCCTCTGCAGCTGCATCATGCTGATCATGGCAAAAAGTAGCCCAGGCAAGAAGAAGAAAGGACAGGGTTTCCCAGGATCACAGCTAAAATATTCCTTACACCTCTTTTACCGAGCATCTCTCCTCTGCTCTTCTCAAGCCTCCTTGCCTTGCTCCCTACGCCCAGGTCCCTGCCCCCATGGCATGCTTTTGCCATTCCTTTCTAGGTCCCATATCAACAAGGGTGAGGCTGGCAATGAGATGGGGTCCTCCAGAAGGGACAAGTCTCCCTGCCCCTTGCACATGACCATCAATCCAACCCTCCTACAGGGTTAGCTTGGGAAGGAGAGGGGTGTAATTGTGACTGCAACACATGGCTGATTCATTGTTTGATTTCATCCCTCCCTCCTCACTTGCAAATGATTTGAGTGAAATGAAATGCATTTTAGTAGTCAAATCTTTAAGGGAGGGGGGAGGGTGTCCCATTGCGCTTTGACCATACAGGGCATTTTGTACATTTAATTTGATTTACACCCAAAGTGTTAATTTAATGTACTGAATTTTCTCCCACACCCAAGTAATGCTTAAAATGAAACAATATCCTATAGAAATGTTTGTGTGCCGTTATCTCATGAGTGTCATTATTTAATGAGTAATTACAATGCTTGGGCTGCACATGCAACATTGTTCCAGTAGGCACATGGAGAAGGACACTGGCTGCCCAGTGATGAGTCTGTGGCTGCCTTGCTGAAGACAATGTGGTCCCAGGGATTCCACTTCATGGTGCTGCATGTGGCTCCCTGCAATGGTTTTGGTGGGGTCATGCTGTGAGCATGCTCCCCAGGCTCTTCCAGGTTAAAAAGTACCAAAGAATATTATTTTTAGGAAAGGCAATATGGTTTTCTTATGGGCTCTGGCCAAGAAACATCAAGGCTCGGTCAGCAGTCTGTATTTCCACCTGCTAGCTCAGAGGGAAGGCAGCCCACCACCACTGAGATGCTCTACTTCATGTAGCTAATGCCTCTCCATCCAGCTCTTCTTGACTTGCCAGAGGCTGCAGGACTTTCTCTCTACTCTGTGTCTACAGTGGTGGTGGGTACACCTCAGCCCTGACCACTTGTGTCAAGGCTCCAGAGCTGATAATAGTAATAATTTCGTTCCTGATTCAGCTGTGCTTGTGAGTGCAAATCTGAATTGGAGCACCCCATGTAAGTGAAGTGTCTTCTCCAGGACCTTACTAAATAGGAACCTCAAAGCAGGATTTGAGAAAACCTAGATGACAGCAAAGTTGTCTCTTGGTTTGGGAGCATTGTGATTAATGTCATTTACTATTTCTTTTGGCTTAAAAGACAAGGAATCATAAAAATAAAAGAAACCTCAAGTTGAAAGCATTGCAAAAAATCAATTAAACCCCACATAGCTGCATTTTGTCCTGGAGCAAAATCTCAGACATAACAGGGAAATTACATAGCCTTAAAGAGAAAGAAAGAGAAGGTTTTACCTGTGGTATTGCTGAGGTATTGCCCGAAGGCATTCTAAGGTGGCTTCTTACCTGCTACCTGCAGAGACCGTAAACTCCCCACAGGAGTAGGGGGAGCAAGTAAATACCCCCAGTCCTTGCTGTCACTCCCAGGGCCTATCTCAGGGGTCAGTGGTCAGGGCTTAAAAGCCTTTCTGGAGGACAAAGGGCTGAGTGATGGGGCAACTCCTCTGCTGGGATAAAGATGTCTGTGCCTGTGTGTTGCTCAATTAGACCTTATCAAAACAGTGTGTAGGGCTGCTGTGGCTCATGGCTGGGATTTCCTGGCTGGAAATGCAGATTGTTGGAGGAGCTCTCTGACAATATGTCAGCTGATGTGGCACTCGGGGCTGGAGCCAGGGCTTCTCCATTACTGGGGGTCCAGCCAGTCCCACACCCCCATGTCTCAGACCCACACAAGAGCTCACACCTCTTTGCCCCTGGAGCCCAAAAGAGTAATGGAGACCTGAATCAAGCTGAACTCTTTCATTTGGCTGCGACATTTGAAGGTGTGTCCTTTCCAGAGGCTCCAGGTCCAGGTCCTGAAGTTAAACTTTTGTCTCGATGAAACAAACTGTGAAACTCCCATCAATTCCCCCTGGCCTGCGCCTTGCCCTTAGGGAGGAGAGCCGAAACCTTAGAGAAGAGTAAGTGTGAAGGGCCTCTTCCTCCATGTGGGGAAACAGCTCTTGGTGCTCAGTCCCACCAGCATCAACTGCTCCATCCCTGTGCTGGCTTTACTGCAAAGATGTGCTTGGGAAGGAAGGCACAAAGTGTGTTTCCACTGCAGTTAATTAAAAAGCAGATTGAACATTAGGCAGGAGAAGGTACTCCTGTTAAAAACCCAAGGTCACACCAGGCACGGGCTTTGCTATGCTCGCAGACTTTTCAGTGCAGTTTTGTGGGTTTTCTTCTGCTTCTTTTGCTTCCTTCCCCAACCCCCCAGCCTCTTGTCTTTACTTCATTTCCACTTCAGGAAGAGGGGTAGAGGACAAGAGGCAAATAAAAAAACAAGGAGTGGGGGAAGAGGAAAGGCTGGGACACATTTTTAATTTTAAATAAACGACTGAGAAAGAATAATTTTTTATTTATTTATTAACAGAAGAAGGGCTTGCCATTAAGAAAAACAGTTACAACTTTCTCTTCCGGCTGCTGCCCCGACGGCCTCCTCCCCGGCGCCCTCGGGAGTCTTCCCCTCGACGGGCTGTCCCGGGGGACTCTCAGCGCAGCCCCCCGTGGGCGTCAGGACCCGCACCCGATAGTGCTGAGCACCCGAGGTCCCCCGTGGCATCCCTGTGCGGGAGTCGGGCAGTGGGTCCGGCCCCACGGGGTCCCCGCCGGCGGGGCGTCGGGCAGGCGGCACCGGCGGCGCTCCCCTCCTCGTGTGTATTTTTTTTTTTTTTTTTTTTTTTTTAAATTTTCAGACGTTAAATTCTTTTGCAAACATTCATGCCTTAGGAAGGGCTGGAACAAAGCTCAGCTGCTCCAACCGGTCGGACAGGTAAGCAGACTTGTTGACACCGTTATGTTTGCAGCACGCATGCTCCTTCCCCAAGTTTCCTGGTGCATTTTTCTATTCCACCTTATGAAACTTGCCTCCCCCCCCCACCCTCTCCCCTTTCTTCCCCTCCCCTTCCCCTCCCCGTGCCTCGGCGGCTCTGCCCGGTGCGTGCGGTCCCGCTCCCTCGGACGGCAGCGCAGCGCCCGCGCCCCGCCGGGCTGCGGGCGGGCGGCGAAGTGAAGCGGCCGCTTCGCTCCGTGCCCAGCCGTGCCCCCTGCACTCGCCATGCCTAGAGCCTTCTTGGTGAAGCGCCGGAGCCCGCAGCCGGCGGTGCGCAGCTGGGATGGGCTGCCCGACGAGGAGAGAGCCGACACCTACATCCCAGGTACGGCGCCGGCGGGCTGCCTACCCGCGCCCGTCGTCACCGGGAGGGACGGAGGGAGCGGGGTCCCCGCCAGTCCCCCGGTTCCCGCGGGCTGCGTACCGGGAGAGTTGGGGAGAGGGCTTTGCCGGGCCGAGGGAGCGGGCGTGCGGTGGCTTGGAGAGAACTGTACTAAACGCGAGGAGGGGAGAACATGGGCAACACTTGAGGGAAAACTCACCTCCCAGCGGCAGGGGTGCTGGCCCCGCCAGGAGATGCCGCCCGTATGACTGGCACCGTCTGCAACCCCGGGGATGGCGGGGCGGGGGGAATGTGTGTGTGTCCGGGAAGGTGAGAAACTTCGTTTGCATGAGAAGGGTGGCGGGGGGAGGAGAAGGAAGGACCCAGGGCGGCGGGGGTGATGTACTCTACGCCTCCTCCTCCTCCTGCCCTTGTCCGGAGTATAACGGGAAGGTGGCGGAGCTGGCTTGTTTGAACTTTGGGACCGTTCGTGTTTGAGTTTCCGATTGCAGCGTGAGCCGGGGATCCTCCCCCGCCGCCCGCGGCCCCGCCCGCAGGTTAAACACCGGGGCCCGGCGACTCCCGCCTGCTGCCTCCCCTCCCCTGCCCCCGGCTCCGTGGTCCCCCCTCTTTATTGAATCCCCACCCCCCTGCAGGGGGAATCGGCTGCGTGCTGCTGGGCTATGAAGACAGCTGCAGCCTGGAGAGCAGCGGGAGCAGCGGGACCCACGATGCCGAGCCCAGTGACCCCCCGACGCCCCAGCCTGCCCGCGGCGACCTGGGCATGGCCGGAGGGATGCTGCTGGATCTGGCCGTCAAGCGCCCTGTGGTCAGGTCGAAAATCAAGGTAACCTGCCGCACCCCAACCGTCTTACAACCCATGATGGGTGACCACAGTTCAAGGTCAAGGCCTGGCTGCTGGTCGGGGGCACCAGATGCCAGCAGTCCCTTGGGCTGCAAAGAGGCCCGTGAACATGCTGGCCGTAGGACGGCAGCTGTAGGGCAAGCTTTGTAAGCGATGTACTGTAATCTTCCAGTGCCCTTTGCCTTCTCTTATCCTTACCTGGGACGTGCTGCTCCTGACCTGCTTGGCTCAGGTCCCGAAGGAGCTCTGAACCTAGCCAGGAAGGACCAGCCCTGGCAGCTAGGAGTCATGCCCCATGGTGCGTGGGTGGATCTCATTCCTTAACGTGGGGCCTCCTTAAAAACTGCCTTCTAGGTTGTAGTCAAGCCTTCACCAAGGGGAGTTGGAGTAAAGCTTCACACTGCCCCCCCTACCCTTCTGACTTATCAAGATAGCAGCTAGTTAAAGGTTCTCCTCTGAAGCTGTGAAAGGCCATTGCCACCTTGAAGTCGACTGGCAGGTTTGGGTAAAATGAAGCAGTGATCTGTCCACTGACTTAGTTGAAGAGCCTCTCTGCTGCAAAGGCAGGAGCTCTGGGTGTCCCTTAGACAGAGCCAGAACAGAGCAGTGATTTCCCTTCCAAGGCCGAGAAGGCAAACTGCTCATGGTGCCTGAGAGCTTAATGCTGACCTCCCAAACAGCACTGAACATCCAGGGTCCCCTCAGCAGAAGTGGAGACAGGCCAACCCAGCCTAGGAAGGAGATGTGTTCACCACTGGTAGTTAACACCTCCTTAAACCCTGGCTGTTGCTTTGCTGGATGGAGCTGTAAAAATTCCCATTGTCTCTGTAGGACGACAGACTTTCAGTCATCATATTCTCATGATTAACATCAGGTTTTCACCCTGGTTATATGCAGCTGCTTGAGGAGTCATACCCCTGTTGCCCAACAGATTCTTCCCAGATGGCTCCTCCTCTAGTTTCACACCTTGTGGTTTCACAGCTGCCGTTTTTTTACAATTTCAAGTAGCACTGCTTCAGTAGTAAGCAAAGGAGGAGGACCAGGAAAAATAACTGGCTCTTCAGGGAAAAATCCCCTCAAACATGTCTTTGTGAAGAGCTTGCCCTGCTGATGTTTGATTTTAACCTACTCTGTATAATTTAACCTGGGCTACTAGCAACTGTCACAGCAAAACCTCATTTCAACAGAGTTGGTTTTTCTTAGCATGCCACAGAAGCTCCCCAAAAGCACCATGAGGGCTGATGGATGCGTGTGCATGGTGCTGCCTGCTTCGCATCCCGAGTGTCTATTAGTGAGCATGTCCCTATGTTCTCCCATGAATGGGTAAACCAGCAGTGAAGTATTTGCAACTTCCAGACACTGAGCTTTCCCTCTGAGGAATGATCTTCCCAAGAGCTGAATCATCAGTGTCTCCCTTAGTCAAGTTAGGTCATGGTGTTGGCACAATATTTTTGGTGCTAGGAGTGGGAATGAGATTACTTCTTAATGTCACTCTGCTGTTAGTTAACGAGCCAAGGAGGAGATTAGCGCCATTGTTTCTGTTGAGTTAGCACAAGGTTTAAGTTTATCTCTCCCAACCCATTCTTTTTATCACTCCTCGGACCCATAGCAGCTGGAGGTGTGATTAGGGAAGGCATCCATAATACAACTTTCTTGTGCCTTGGAGGACTTCCTATCTCCATCCAGGATATTAGCTGAATGCAGGAGCAAACAGGCGGCCCCACAGCAAGATGCTTGTAGCCTAAGCCCTTGTGCTTATGGATGTGACTGGACAAAGGTTGTTGCCTCTGGAAGGTATCCATTACACAGGCTTTGCTTTAATCACTGATTCCAAGCTGGTGGGTGTTGCATTAGTCCCACTGCACATTAAATACCCTGCTTGATTGCAAGGAAAATGTGAATGTTTCTGCCAGCAGGAATCTCCTGAATGCTTTAACTTTTCATTTTTAATATATCCCAAGATTTTTTTTTTTAATGCCATAATAAGCCAACCCTCCTTACTTTGTTTTTTTTCTTCTGTTGGTCTTCTGGTGTTCATTTCGATGCCCACTCACCCAGTCATCTTCCATTCCTCAGTTTACCACTGGCACCTGTAATGATGCTGCATTGCATAGCTGCGAGCTGTGTGGCAAAGGCTTTCGCTTGCAGCGAATGCTCAACCGTCACATCAAGTGCCACAGCCAAGTGAAGAGACACTTGTGCACCTTCTGTGGAAAAGGCTTCAATGACACCTTTGATCTGAAAAGACATGTCCGGACCCATACTGGTGAGAATGCGTTCCCTGGGGACTCACAGGAGGCTCTGAAGAGTAGGAGGTGGGAGGAGGGGTGAGATGGAACAAGGACAAGGAGAGGGTGAGGGTAACCTGGCAAGGCCATAATACAAAGCCCAGGTTAGCAACGTTTGCAAAAAATAGTGGGGTTGCAGTGGAGGAAAGGGGAAGACATGAGTGTGGACGGAGAAAAATCCTGGGAATGATGAAATCTGAGAAGAACTAGTGAAATCTATGTGAAGTAGTGCGGGTGCATGGTCTGACATCCAGAACCAGTGTATACAGCCACATGCTGCAACACCTGGGTCAGGAGGATTGGGATGAACCCACTGAGGATAACCTGTGTGGGATGACCCACCTGGGATAGCAAATCACTGCTTTTGTGAGTGAGACCAGTGCACAGGGACAAGCAGAGGCAAGAGGTGGATGAAAGTGCTTTTGCCCTCTAGAGGCAGTGAGCAGCAGTTTCCTGGGGTTTTTTTTGGCTGTTGAGAACCTTCCCTGCTGGCTATTTCACAGGATGGGGTTGTGGCTTGATTTTGTCACTGTCTGGAGAAAACAGAGTGTTGTTCATGCTATGCCTTCTGACTTCTGCTAACCCTGCATGCTGCATCCCTTCCTGATTTGGGCTACCAGATCCTCCAGTTCCCCTTTGGAGCTGTTTCCTTCTGCACATCCAACCATCCAGATCACTTTGGCCACTGGCCTAAACCATTTTTATTCACATGTCATGTGGGGTCACAGCATGCATTGAAAATTAGGAGCACTGGGTTGAAAATCACCAGACAGCAGTTCCTGCTTCTTGCTCTTCGTATCGCTCTCTCAGGCCAGAGGGTTATGGTTTTCTGTGGCCAGTCTGCTGCGGATTGAGCTCCTAAGTCCATCCCAAACAGTGGCGGTTATGTTTCTTTGAACTGGATCTGTTGCCTCAAATCAACCTCATGGGCACAGAAGTGCTTATCCCAGCCTGGAGCAGGGACAAGGCTGCCATTTTGATTTGCTTCCTTTTTCTTGGTGTAATTAAATAAATAACAACCCCCATCCTCACCAAGTGCGACACTTTCTGGCAGGTCAGGTTGGCTGTGCTCAGCAGGCTTTGATTTTGCAGTGTTGGGCACGCAGAAGATGCATCCACCACATCTCACAGGCACATTCCATCTTTCCAAATGTGTGGTTACCCAATGGGAACTGAAGACTATGTGGGCTTGCTCTGCAGTGCCCTTTCTCTGGCTTAGGCAACATTAACCAGGCAAACTGCTAGAGGCAACACAAGTGTAATTAGTAGGAAGGAGCTGTTTCTTAGCTGTAGAGCAACAGAACTCACAAAAACGATGCCCATTTCAATGGGAAGGCATTGGCTAGAGCCAATGTTTTGGACTGTTTTGGTTTGTTTGCAAAGCTTTCATGTGGAAAGTAAAGCTACTGGCTGTGAGCAGGGGGCTGCCACTGGGATATGGCTGAAGTGGGGAGTCAGTGCTTCTAAAAGAAGTGATTTTTCGATCTGTACCCTCATATTTTGAGACTAAGAAACTAAAACCAAGACAGTCTCTGTTCAGAAGCTGTGGCAGGTAGGGTTGAATTCTCTTTGCAGGAGTGGAACAAATGTTGTGAAACACTGGAAAGGGAGAAGATCTTTTTACTGGACAGGAGTGAAAACCCTGGAAATGTGTAATCTTATGGTTAGATTGTCCCCAAATTTACTAGATGAAATCTGCTGTCACTATTTCTCCTCTCCACTTTAAAACTGGGATGAACACACACATACACCATATTTGCTTGGTGCCTTAGATGATGGCAGAGGTGAGGGCTGGCTGCAGCAGTGGTACCCATAATGTATTGGTTTGTATCTTTTCTAGGCTGAGATACGGCATCTCTGAAAGCAGGAACCTTCTTTATATCAAAGTTGGTGGTTGTTTAGGAAAGCTGGGCTATGTTTGAATATTAAAAAGAAGGCAAATGGGCTGGAAGGGGTTCTATGGGCTTTATTTTGTAGCTACAGGTGATCATCTACATGTGCTTTATTGGGTGTGGGTGTTTCGGTGGAAACTGTCATGCAGTGTTTGAAATGACGCTGTGCAACAGTAGTGTCAGAGAGAGTAAAAGCATACCAGTCTACCTTCAGGGTATGAGCAGACCTAAACATTAAAAAGTATCTAAGATACACGGTAAAAGAAAATTTTTAAATGATTACTAAGTGATGAAGAGGTTCCCACAGCCCTCATGGGCTCTGCCATCCTGGCACTATCCTTTTTGTGTTTATATGTATGCCTGTGGAGCGCTGGAGCAGGCACCAAGGATGCTGCCTGCAACTTAAATCTAATTGCCTTCAGATGCACATAAAACTACACCCAAACTACTGTTTGTAGAAAGTACATTTTTGTGTGTGAATCCTAATGAAGGTTTGGAGTTTCCAGTTGCAGTTTAATGGAACTGAAGCAGTCTCAGCAGTAGGCATTAGGAAACTTCAGTGTTGATAGTTAAATCCAGTGCACTGGGATAACCACTTTACAAGACTTGCAAAAACGAGTTGAGATGCTGCTTATTGGAGCTTCTGTTTAGCTTGGATTTTTGGTAGAAATATCAGCAACTAAGCAATTATGTAACACAACGCAATCACAAAGTTACATTTGTCTGAACGGACACATGTACTTTGTCCATTTCTGCCTGGCTCACCATAGGTCTGATCTTCCAGACCCTCATCTTTCACCTTCTATGGGAAAAAGAGGTTAGGCAATGCCTTATATCAGTTTTAGGGCTGGTCTGTGCTTGAAAACTTACTGATCTAGTCTAGTAAGTAAAATTCCAACTGGTTTAGGTTCTTTCAAGTGATGCTTAATCCTCAGTTATTTAAGAACTGGAGGGTTGTTAAATCAGTGTTGATTGGTGGTAAAATGTATGTCCTTTACTGCTCAGTATTTCTGTAATGTTGGTTGTCTGTACTGAACGAAAATGCCCAGGCATTCAAATCATAAGCCAGCTCCTTCTCCCTCCTCTGGAGGCAGGCAGACTTATTTCACAGAATGACAGAACATGCTGAGTTGGAAGGGACCCACAAGGATGACTGAGTCCAACCCTTCTTTCATCTTACTGCATTTCTCTTCTAGAATTTGAGCTTGTAGTCTCAGTCATCAATTCTATATTGTACAAAAGTGCTCTCGCTCCTTTGAAGCACTGCAATAGCTGGACATTCACACTGGGCTGCCATTCACTGAAGCCTCTGTAAGTTTTCTCACTAAAAGGGAAAAATCAAAATCTCTCTGAGATAGAAGTTTTTATTCATTATAAAACCCGAAATGACAGGTTAGCTGAAATTTTTACCTAATCACAGGACTTCAAAAAGTCAGGGGTCTAAGAGTAAGTTTTGCAAGAGCTGTAGTGGCTTCTTTAGGACCAAAGCACAGTTGGGCCCCTGTTACCCTCAGCATTTGCCTACACCTTTTCAAAACATTTCTAAGTTTTTTATGCCTAATGTCAATTTTATGCTATTTTATGCCTATTTAATTTTATGCCTATGTCAACCCATTCCTGAAAATTTTAGCCTGAAAGGAGGATGATTTATTTAGGTAGGTAGTTCCTTGGGCTAGTAGCTCCTCGCTGCTAGGTAAGTGCTCAGTAGCTGCCAGAGCCTTGCTCTTAAGGCAGCTGTAAGAAACGTAAATCACAATGGTCTTTTAATGTTGCAGGAATTCGTCCTTACAAGTGTGAGGTTTGCAACAAAGCCTTTACCCAGCGCTGTTCCCTGGAGTCCCATCTCAAGAAGATTCATGGTGTGCAGCAGCAATATGCCTACAAACAGAGGCGAGATAAACTTTACGTGTGCGAAGACTGCGGCTACACGGGCCCCACGCAAGAGGACCTGTACCTGCACGTCAGTAACGTTCACCCTGGAAGTGCTTTCCTGAAGAAAACCTCAAAAAAACTTGCAGCAGTTTTGCAAAACAAACTGAGCCCTGTCCTGCAGAGGAACTCCAAGGATGATGACAAAGATGAGTAATGAAGTGGATTGCAGCGGTCTACAGGAATGAAGTTTACATGTAGGACAATATATATATATATATTATTTTTTTAAAAACAATTTTGGAAAAACCTGAAATTAAAGGGATGCTTTAGTTAATGGGACTCTCTTGTTGGTAACCTCAACTGGAAAGAAATATTCCCATTTATGATGAAAACACCAGACTTTTTTTATTTGGCCAATAAAAATGGAAAGCTTGGAAGAGGCTGTCATCTCTCACATGGAGTATTTACTGAACTGATATTTGGGCAATCTGTCTTCTCTTTCAGCTCTACCACACATCAGCTGCCACTGACAAATAAGCTCACCTTTCTCTGTGTATTTTGTAAAGTTAATTTCTGTTACCTCCTGTACAAATTACTTTTGAGAGGTTTGAGTGAAAAGCGCCAGGTAAGAACAGCTTGTTCTATGCAAATTTAATTTAAATGTCTTAAGAACAGGAGTACTTTGTATTGGTGAATAAGTTAAAATGTGCAAATAACCTTAACTCTGCCCCCTATGCAGTAGGTAACAATTTATGGAAGCGTGATGCAAGGTGAGTTGAAACTCTTCTGAAAGGATGCAGAACTTTTTCCTCCCAAACTTCCTCTACTAGCAAATTACATTATTCCAGGCTAGACTTTTGGTTTTGATTTAGATATTTTAAGCCATGAACTTACTCTTATGTTTAGATGCAAGAAGGACCTTAACTCTGAAGTTCCTGGACTTGTCATGCTTTGAGGATTATTACCACATCCTTTTAACATACATCAATATCAGCCCAGAAACCCAAAGAAAACTTGAAGATAAGTATTTTCTGTCATGATAAAATGCAATTTTGTCCGTATTTTATGGGGAGAGAACGTTTGGGGATTTTTTTTTTTTACAATCAAATGCTTCTTCACTAATACAACAGAGCAGTGCAATGCAGCAAAAAGGGGGACTTAGCCTGTCTCTGCTTCATGAGATCAGTGCAAAACTGCAGGCATGAATCTGGCTGCTCGTCTGTATCCACTGTCAGTTTAGAAGACTCCTAGTGAGACTGATGCTACTGGGGAAGGATGTGACAGTGATGATGATAAGGGACTGGTGCTACCTGTGTTACTTCTCTGTGCTTTTGGATTTCTGTAATCCCACTCCAGCTCCTATTGACTCAGGACAGTTAAGAGGGTAGCCTGTGGGGACTACTGAGTGTGAATTTAGAGATTAAAAAAAAAAAAAATCTGTACATTTGGGGAGGATATGCTATATTCTATATATGTTGAAACAACAGCTGAAATTAAGCCACTTAAAATACAGAGTCCAGCATAGCCAGAACTTTCATTGTCATTACTGCTAAAATGAGAGATTCTGAGCAATTGTGCAAGAATTGTAAAAAATCATTTCAATTGGCTTCAGTTTTCTGCAGGCATCCGCTTGGGTTTTTGTGGGGAAAAGATTCTAAGGGTTTTAAAGCATTGCTAATGATATTACTACTTTATTCAGCACAACCGTCGGTGCTTGGAATCTTGAAAGCAAGGATAATAAAGTGATGCTACTGTGTTAAGAAGAAAGTTGTCATTCTATGTAACAGGAAAGTTCACAGAATAATAAATGGGAAGTTGCTGGTAAAAAGGCATCTGAGGTAAATTAGAAGATCCTGACTTGGCAGAAAGAGCTAAAGCTTATGCAGTGATCCCCATTTCCTTGGATTTCATGCCATTGTAACTGAACAGTATAAAGAGAAGGTTGCTCGCTCTGAGCAAAGCTTGCTTGCTGGCAAATACAGTCACGAAACTACTGGGCTAAGGAAAGCATTAACAGCTGGTTCAGCCAGTTGTGCTGGTGAGACTCCTCCATAACCTGCTCAGTGAGGCCTCAGTCATGAAACTGTTGAGGTCTGCTCCAGGGTGGGACTGTTTAGGACAGTCTCTCTGAGCAGTTCACCCAACTGCACAGAATTCATGTGCTCAGCTCTGCTGAAACCTCAGTCCTTAAACTGGTGCAGTGGAGCCAGGGCTGAAACCTTCTCTTTCCAATTAGAGACACATTCTGTGTTTGTACCTGTGTGCATGGGCTGTTTTTTAACCCCTCCTGTAGCACATACTGGTTTTGATCTCCCTCCTGTATCACTGCCAGAGAACATCTCTGTTGAAAGAACCATAGGCACAGTGAGGTGGTCACAGAAAGCACTTGCAGCAACAGAGAAAGGGAGCAATTAACAGCGCACAGTAAAAAACCCTCTCTGGATGGAGAGCAAAGCTCTGAGAAGCTGGACGTTGTAGCTCAAGGGACTGCTCTGATTGCCTGGCAGGTTTTTCTGTAGAGGATAATGCCCTGGGCACATTCATTTAACAGTCTGGCACGTCAGTTTAAACTGGACACAAAGTGGGTTTGGGTTTGTATGACAGTAGCAATGTGGCCACCTGCCAGTTTGTTACAGGACAAACCAGTGCTAGCCTGTGCCACTACAGAAATGTTCCAGAGCTCACCCAGGGATGCCCTAGGCAGCCAAGCTTTCAGAAGTGCCAGACACGAGTGACTTCCACCGCTGCTGTCTTTGAAGGCTGTCGGTGTTCTCCTGGCTCTCTGAGGGTATGGACTCATCCAAGACTCGATAGGTTTGCAAACCAACATTGCTGGCAGCCTTCCACAGACAAGGCTTTTGTTAAACAAACAAACACAGATGAAGCCAACAGGTGCCCACGCTGCCCAGGCTCCAGACTTGTCCTTATTTGTTAGGGAGTAATAATAATGGCCAGTCTTCGCGAGCGAAGATCCGGGGAAGGTCTTTACACCTTCCAGCCTGCGCATTGGATTTTTTAGGTGAGACACAGTGTGCGCGGAACTGAGCCCACCCTTTAATCCTAAGGTTCATCTGCCGGGGCCAAGTGAGCTTGGATGGTGGCAGTGAGGTCCTCAGGACGTAGATGGATTGCCTTTTTACAGGGTTAACGAGCTCCATCAGCCCGGGGAGTATCCCTGACCGGGAATCGAACCCGGGCCTCGGCGGTGACAGCGCCACACCCTTACCACTAGACCACCAGGGGGTAGGATGAGGTTGAACATTCACATGCTTCAGAGACATCTAATGGCTGTATGATGCACTGATGGAGAAAGCAATCCCACCCAAACATTACCCAACTGTTCCCCACTAGCATGATCTATCAAATTGCAATCAACACAGGGATTTCAACCCATTTCATCACCTCCTGCTTCTGCCCAGGGATCTTACCCCTTGCTTATGGCCACCCTCTTAGTATCCAGGGAGCTATCTTTCACAGAAAACTGACAGTATTCCTTGACACTGAACCATCCACTTGCCAAAATTCTGTGATGTGGGAAGACACTTGTAAAACAGGTAGAACTTCTGAGAGCCTGTGCTGTGTCTTCCCGGTTAGTCATCTCTGAACCCAGTTTTTCCATCCCCATGGTTTGACTTTTTAGATAGAAATCTAATTAAGCACAGAGTAATCAGAACATCTCTAGACCAGGTTTGAATAAGTGAGTACCACTATAACTAAGTTTCATTGAAATGTTTCCATGAATGAGTAATATGGAGGAGAACCAGATTAAGCACTATAGCTATTTCAGTTTCTTCAGCAACAAGCCTGTCCATTTTTTTTTTAGGTATCATTCTGGCTGATTTTTTTGAAGATTATAGGTTGGTCATATTTTTATTTGTAATCTACAGTGTTATTGTGAAAACTCATACATACAATTTAAAGAAAAAAAAAGAGAATGAGGCTTATTCTATGTCTTACAGACTTGATTTTATAAGCTTAAAAATTAACTTCTGTTTCAAAATGTTTATTCACAAACTTATTTGAAAAAAAAATCAAAACAACAAACACACACCTGTAAAAAAACCACCCCCCAAAAACCAACCAGCAGCTCTTCATTCCTCAGAACGCCTGGCTTCACAGCCACAAGCTTGCTTTTATACAAAAACTCACGTGGACTGGTGTACACTCTCACTGGACACTGGAGATCCTTCCACCTGGGAGCGCTTATTGTTGGCTCAGACTTCCGATGAAGTCAAGAGAGCTCAAGGCAGTTGCAGCCCTGGCCTGCACAGAGCTCACAATCCAAGGTACAGAGCCCATTTCCCAGGGCTCTTCTGCAGGCTGCACAGGCTATGTGTTAAGAAACTTGCAGGAGGAACCACTACTAATAGCCAAACTCCCCACCTTTCAGAAAACTTGCTGGAAATTTCTAAGAGTATCCTTTACAATTCTGCTCCTCTCTTATTGAGCCACTTCTGTTAAATTATCACTTCGCTGTAGTATTTTAAACAAGATTTAATGAGAACTTTCATTGTAATTCTTAGGACAGGTTTTCCAGTTGTTTTAAGAAAATCAACAAATAGTAACAAGCCTGTTAATAGAGACCTTTGACATGACCAAGAACTAAAAAAGAACTGACTGAAACCCAGTCTACTATATCAATTTCTTTATAATTTTCACTTCTCTCAGCTCAGACAATACAGATGTTCTTTTGCTTCAGTTCACCAACAATTTTCGAAGTCTTAGTTCTGCAACCATTTTTTTTCTCAAAAATTATCAAAGAAGGATGACTTGATTGAACAGTTTTACTTGATAATAACAACTTTCCTATAAACCTCAGGTTGTATAAACTGTGTGGGGGAAAAACACAGGCTAAATAAGTTGACTTTGTCCTGCATGGACCATTGAAGTCACCTACAACATAAGCAAATACATATTCTCTATTCAAAATTCACATGTGGGGTTTTTTCATTTTTTGGTTCTTTTTACAGTGGAAAAAATACCCCTGATGGTAAGAAATTAGTCAAAGTTATTCAAAAAAGAATGTAAACTAAAGTGGTATACTTAAAAGATTCTTCCTTTGTCTCTGTGCTGAGACCACTTGCTTCTTCTTAGATTCTTCTCAGTTTCTGTCCATGTACTCTTCAAGGCGCAAAAGCCACTTATTCCAGTACTGCAGGCACAGATCAGGATGCATGAAATGGGAATGCGCAGGGAAGCCATTCTTATAAGCAACCACAATGAGTCCACAGCGAACCTACATTCAAAACCAGAGGGCTGTCAGAAATTCAACATTCAGACAGAATTGTAAGAACTAAACCTCACTACAAAACATCATCATTACATATACATATGTTTCTTAAATAAGAAATGGGGAATAAAAAAGGGGAATAATTCATCATAAAATACTTGGAGACTAATATTCAAATTTTCCAAGAACCCAGACTCCAAAGCTCCAACCAGAGGACATGAACTTTGAGTATGAGTGATATTTATACCTTGCAGATGGTGGTAGAATTCCCAGTGACTGATGAGGTTTTGCCTGGGGCCATATAACCAGACTGATGCACTCTCTAGCATCAGTCTGAATGGAAACAGTTACTCAGGTACATTTGGATATTTTTCATACCTGACAAATCCAAAATCCCAAACAGCCAGTGGCAGTGGGAGGCAGGAAGCTAACAGCAGAATTCCAGAATTACTGCCCACGTTTTGCTCTGTAAGGATCACGTCTGTTAAGTGCTTGTGTTTACTGACCTCTACAGTATTCTAGAAGGTCCTTTGCACAACCTGTGAAAGAACCTGCTCTCTTCTGCTTCATATTTTGCCCCTTCCATGTTTGTATTGAACTAAAAATCCTTCAGGCCAAGCAGGCAGGCTAGAATTGCATTTGGAGTCTTTAAAAACATTATTCCACTGTCTTCTGATTAAGTGATTCACAACATACTGCTTTCCCAAGATGAAACACAGTACAGCTTTCAAACAGCAAATCCATCACTTAGTCCCTCATTTGTTAGTGCGATATAGCAACATATAATGCAAGCGAGGCCGTCCCACATAATTTTCCTGTTTGCAGGCTGTTTTGCTTTATTACTTCTCCTGCCCCTTCCTATTCTTGACACAAGTAAAAATCACACAGAACAAAGCCAAGTCACTGTGAGTTCATCTGATCTCCTAAGACTATGAGCTTCCCTTGGTCCCACTGAGCACGTCCTTAAAATCAGTGAAAATACACTGCTGACAGCCAAAGGCAGGAGCATTAGCAGGAGTAGCAGAATTATTTCCCAGTATGTCAGTGAACCTGATCTAAGTCTGGGCTCCTTTGTTACAAATCCTACCAACAGTTCCAGGTTCTAAAGGCAGTAGGCAGGGAGAAATGAAGATGACGTGGGTGCTGCTGCTTGTCTTGGCAGGTAGCAGACCTACTGACCTGGAAGTCATAGTTGGCATCATGATTTATGGCTCCAATATATGCTGCAACCTGTAATGGGTTGTCATAAGTATTCTTCAGAAATGGCTTTGGTTTCTCTGAAGTTTTCCAGTCAATCACACACAATTGGCCTCTGCATAAAAGAACAAGATAGAACAATGTTTTAAACTTAAGTAGTCACAAGTAAGAAATAAGGGAAGAGACAGCACATAAAGACTTATCACTCTCAGCCAGTTTCACCCTGATGTTATATTGCGCATTCTTATGTCTAAACATTTCTCTTTCACGCTGGCAGTTTAGATCTCAAAAAACAACACTTACTAATACTTGCTGCAGTTCCTGGCAAATGCTGACAATCAATTAACCCTGTCCCACTCATACCCTGCTCCAGTAAGGAACTTTCCACAAGAAAAAAACCAGCACTTCTGTCATCAGGTTCATCCAGGGAAGTTAATCTGTTTTGCTGGTCCTGGATATCTGTCCAGCTTCCCCCCCAGCCACTCAGAAACATACCAGCTGCAGCCTGGGACATGGCTTCCCACACACCACAGACATTACAGGTGCCTGAGAGGAACCTCACCGATACTTTGCCACGCAGTCTACCAGGCCCAGATACTGAAGGGTCTCGTGATGAACAGCACTTTCCAGAGCTTTCACTTCGCTGATATCTTCTAAGACATGTTCCACACTTGATAAGTAACCAGAAATAACACCATCTTTGCTCTTCTCCTTAATTGCCATCTCTTCAGACAGGAATATAGATTCCAAAGCTGAATGAAAGAGCTCTCCTTGGAGGAAAAGATCTGAGAAAAATAGGAAAAAACACATTTTAGACACTACTTTAGATTCATATTCTACAACGCAGCTCTTAAACCAGTCCTGGTTTTTGTACTGAAAGCTTGAGGATGTAGGGAGAAGAGAAACAGAAAATAAATTGTCAGCAGTGAAATTAGTATCTCTTATATTAATATTACTTTATTTTTTTAGTCTCACTAATTACTTAGAAACAAAATATGAGTTTTAATTTATTGTATTGAAAAGCATTTGTGAATTTCTAGGATTTAAAAACATTCTTGGCTGCTTTTGCTGCACTTGCTTATTCTCCTGTATCAGTTCATTTGAATGGAACTCATCTCCTGAAATGAGTGGGCATAGTTCTAGGAGTAAGGGCTTGTCTCAGAAACGATTCCAAAAAAGATAAATTTTCAACTGTTATATAAGGTTTGTTATGCCACATTATCCACTGAAGTGCTTAGTAATTAAAAAAGCATAATCACAGGATATTAGTTTTTAAAAGCATAAAAATTCATGTAAGGAGCACTCAGGTATTTATCAACCTGGCTACTTACTATCCCCTAGGTCCTTCCAGATCCCTTTCAGTCCTGCAGCTTGGAGGAAGTCACCTTTGTATGTCTTACGAAACGAAAACCCCTAAATGCATAGCAATTTCATGGAAGAGGCTGCATACACCGAATAAACTACACAGGTTCCAAAAAACTTAACCATAAGTAGCAGAACATATTGGTTGTTAAACACTCAAGATATTTCAAAATGCCCATTTCCATCTTGTTACAAAGTAGCTCTGTATTTGCAAAGAGGCTCAGTAACATCAGCTGGAGAATATCTACTTGTAAATAGATACTGTAAATAGAGAAACAGAGGCAGACACAATGAAGTAAAGGATGTCTACAGTTTAATTCTAATTCTTGTTGCCCACAGATTTCTAATCCATTTTAATGGTTCTAGAACAAAGACCAGAGCTTAGACTCATTGATAACAGGTACACTCACAACATGCTCTCATGAAATGGAAACAACTTAAAGGATTTCCAAAATGCTTGACCTGTAGGGCCGATACTGCCGCTATGTTAGAATATACCTGCCAGTTATATTCTACTGCAATTGCACTGTGGTTAGACTTACTTTTGGTATACTTTGCAAAACCATCTTTTCCAAGTTCCGCTATCATTTTCTCCTTCCATCTTTCTAAATAAAAGACTTGCTGTGGAGAGAGAGTTTGTTGAAGAATATGGGTAACACTGGGCATTTTTGTTTTTTGTAACGCGATTTTCCTGGGGAGGTTTGAATCACTGTTGAGAGGAGGAATTCTCTTGTTGGGGTTTATTAAAGGAACCCAGTTCTTGGGAGTCTTTGTCCCAGCTTTAACTGGAGGTCTGTGTTTATCTGGTGGCCCATATAACAAATTGTCTTCTTCAAATAATGTCTCCGGTGTTTGGGCGCTGGTTTTGTAAGACGTAACAGAGTAGACCAAGTTCTTGTACTTTTCTTGGTCAACTTGTTCGTAACCGTTTGCTTTTTTCTTTTTACCATAAATACATGCAGAAGTAGCCAGACATGTGTATGGGAACTGCTTTTGACAAAACGGTATTTGAACAAGCATTTCCAGTTTCCCTGGTTTCCTGGACAGTATCTGTAGGAATTGCATTCTGGCAAGAAGTATTTGTGAATGGTTAGTTTTCTTTCTTCTGTTAGGAACATCTGGAGGTTACAATATTTTCCCCCTGTGGACAAAGACATACATGAATTCCAGAGTCATAAAACTTTACAAATATCTTATTTTTGCCCTTGGCCAAAAAAAGAATTGCTATAATCAAAGTGTCCTCATATACTTCATACCACCAAAACATCTTCAGATAAATAAGAGAAAGAACCAATAAAAGCAATGAAAAGAGGAAATGGTCCTGAAAAGAACAGGTGCTGGTCTGCAAAATCTGAAACAGGGCAAGCACATAAGGATGTTGCAAGTAGCAAAAGCTTCAGCAGAGGACATTCCTACAGGAACTGTATCATTAACTGCCATGATAGTAGATACAAAAACCAGATCTGCCACAAACAAACCCTCAAAAGAGGGAGGGTGAAATAAAAAAAAAAGCTACACAGAAGAGAATGAAGCAAATCTATTGCTATGAGGTTTAAAAACGTTTAAGTTTATAGTGAATGTCCAACTTAAAGAGGACTGCTGTGGGGACAAGGTACCTTATGGAGAATAAAAACCATGTTTTTCTTTTGTAGGAGAAAGCAGACAGCAGCAGTATATACAATTGTGAGACCTGAGACTAAGAAAGCCAAAAGAGAAACCACATGTACTTCAAGTATCTTCAGACTCAGAGAAATCTTCTAAAGTTCAGCATAAAATATAAAAGTATTTTTCTAAACTGAATTTCCAACATAGCTGTGTTTTAAGACACTTAGGAAATTTAAAAGCAAGAGCCAGCAATAGTGTACTGTTTTGTAACTGCAGTGCTAAGTTCTAGGAAAGTTTTTTCACATGGATAAAATGTAATATCTGCATAGTGGCATTTCACTCAACGTTAAATACATGCAGAATTGAGGCCCTACTCTCCTACTGAAAGTTATCTGCTTACCATTAGAAAGTTCCCTCCACTCACTGCAAAGAAACAATCTGCAAACTACCATCAGCATTCCATTCCAGACAATACTTTCACGTTATTCTTTTCCTTCCCCACACTCCTTCCCCAGCACTTCACACACTGCCCAAGCTGTGTGCGCCACAGGAAACAAAAATGTACTATGGGGGGTTATTTTGTATGAACAAATCCCATGCTCATGCACAGCTGCTGTGGGGGTGCAGGCATTTGTCACACAGAACAGTTTCCAAAAATGAGTTTGTACTGGCTGCAGCTGATTAGATCAAAGCATCTCATAGCAAGAGGCTGAGACCTTAGACTTGAGTTCCATGAATATTGTTGTTCATCTGTAAAGGACAAAACCATTCAGCTGTACAAATTTAATCAGGAGTAGGCAGATACACTGCTTTTTTTCTTTATTGGCTTTATATTTTCACACTGACTTTGTATGGTCCAGGCAAATAAAAAACTGTTCTGTAAATCTGAAGGCATGCAGCCTGATACAAACGTAACCTCTCAAAAACAAATCCAAACACAGTAAGAACTCTGTGTCCTATAGCCATAGCATTTGTGACCCAGTACCAGGTGCCCTGCAGCAAGATCTGCCATCCTCTCGTGAGATGGTCTCGGTCTTTAGTAAGGGTTTCCTGTAATTACGATGCATATCAATCAAAACAGTTAATGATTTTAAAACTGCTTCAAGGTCCATAAGAGAATAATAGAGGAAAATAGTGAAAGTACCAACTGGTTAGTTCTGCTACTGATTTTTTAGTCTGATTAGACATAAAGCAAATCACCTCACAAGGGAAACCTTACCAGTTAAGATACCTAGAATGTGTCATTTTCATTTTTTAATCATTACACTATAGTTAATATCAGAGCAATTCCAAAACTGCTCTTCTTATCCAGCAGAACTGGGCTGGGTGGAGTTGCACTTGTTATCTCATTTTTCAATATCGAACAGCAAGAATGGTCATAATCATCTGAGCATCCTCTGACCTTCAGATTCCTGTAAAAACTACTCTCCTGCCTGCACAAGAGAGAAGCAGTTAGGTGCGCTAAGAAAGGACAAATCAGACAACTAAAACCATTTTATTGCCACAAAAGTATGCAAGTTCTGCCAAAAAACAGAACCACCTGCTTTAGACAGTTTGCAAAGCATGAAATTGGACTGTGTATTTTGTAACTTAAGTCCTGCCCTGCTTCATTTCATGGACATGTGAGGAAGTTTTACTAATTTTTGTGAAACATAATCAAAAGTTATGTTTCCTCTAATTTCTTAAATGATGTCATAAGCAGTTTCTGCAGCTGAGCTTGCTAGAAAATTGCAACAGCATAAAGAGGTAGTTTTTACATTATACGTTTCAAATCTTCAGTTCACCTTGGGTTTCCAGTCAGTGAATTTTGCATGTCTTCACTATTACTGCCAATTGTTTCAATAAATATAAGAAGCTCCCCATGTTTTGTCATTTCACCATCATGAAGCAGCTCTCTTCTGCAAATCTGCTACACCAGGGTTTGCAGCAACCCATTCTTCTCAGAGACCATCACATTTTTAATAGATCTTTCAGTGTTGGAATGGGATTGGTTACCTGGCAGAATCTGCCCTTTGCTAAAAAAGAAATAACGAATGATGGTATCACATTTCAACAGGTTGTCAGTCTGCTGTAGGAGGTAACAGAAAAACAGCAGAAGCAGCAAAGAGATACATAGAGGTGAGGCTTTAATACTGTAAGAAAATTGCTTCGCTGTATTTTTTTCATCATAAAAAGCAGTGCAAAAAATCCTTTCTTGGGATTTACCTCTAAATAAAGGTATGATTTAAAAGAAAACAGGAAAAAAAATATTCTTTTTCCGATGTAACAGTATGTAAGCTTGTAGTTTCTTGGGCTACTGTTTGAAGACCATTAACATGTGCATTGATTGTCATTGTGTATGTGCACTAATCAGAACAGAATAAATGTTAGGTCAGTGACTGTATATTTTTTTACATCAACCACAGTTTTTTGTCAGCTGCAGAAAGCAAGATGATACCTGATTCAGCATAAAGTTCATTTGTACTAAGCTGCCTCCTCAACATTTTTTAAGGAATGAATTTATACCAGATCAGTGTTTTGAACCATGGAGCTATTGAAATATGGAACATTATGAGCCCTAGACCTAATTAACAACACTGCTTCAGTGAGTAGTATAAATTTTGATTTAACAGCATGTATTACACTGGAGTAATACCTGTGGAAATGTTTGTGCACTCTATGAACTGAACCACCAGGAGAGTTTGTCCACTGCTGTCCTATTTTATAAAAAGAAAGAGGTTCTAGAATTGCTAAGAAATAATGAACACTTGTGTCCAGCTAAATAAAGAAGCATGTGTCTTTCAATAAATCACAGTGGCATTTCTGTGCAAATAACTTACATTTACAAGAAAGAAATGGAGTTGGAGTGGTTTGGATCTACTCTTGCCTCCAAAGAACAGAATTTAATTGATATTTCACTCTGGGGAAGCGTTTCCCTTCTCTCTGAAAGGGTTTGTGGTTGAAGACTGGCAGAATTGCTTCAATTGTTGCACGATGAGCCCACTGGAGAAGTGAACACATACAAAACAACCCGGAGGAAAGAAAAAGGGGGAAAAAAAGGAGGACTTAACTTTCCCCAGCAAGCTGAATTTGCAGCTCCAACAATAACTGAGCTAACAAAACTGAGGAAATTTTTTTCCCGGATAGGAATAAGTGGCTTAACAGAAGGAAATTAAAAGGATCACTTAAGAAAAAGTTCACATCTATAAAAACCTACCTCTAATTATAGTTTCGGACAATAACCAGCAAGGCTTTTTCTCCATAGCCACCTGTCCAGCAAACAAAAGCACTAGCTTACTTCAGAGATAATAAGAAAGAGCCCCACTAAACACAGCTATGGATCTGTTGCTGTGTCCCTAACTCCAGGAGAAGAAATGCACTGATGAAGGTATAACTTTAAGTTAACATCACAGGCTTTTCTCTTGAAGAAGTATTACTAAGTGATGTAGAAAGGCAACAGTACCCTATATTCTCTTTGTCTTTTTTTCTGGCTACAACTTAATAAGGCAGGGCTTTGACAGCTGTATCACTTTTAGAACTTTATACACTTGCCCAGTCCCTGCCCCCAACCTCTCCTCCTTGGTTCCCTGCAGTTTGTAAAATAAATTATTGAACCTATACAGGCTAAAAATATACCTTCCTCTTCTGTGAAGTTTAGAGCATGGAGAGAGAAAATTTAGCAATCCAGTTTAAAGCATAAGCCCACAGGGCTACCCTGGAAAAATATTCAAGCTTCATTCGCAGCTCAGCATTGAGAATGAAATTAGTGGGAAACAGGGCTGTAACACGACGTCAGCGTTTTTGGCGACCTGTGCGAGTTGGGCTAACACCGGTGACCAAACTTTCTCTAGCAGACAGACAACGCTTCTACACTCGCACCAGGCCCCTGGAAATGCGACAGTGCCGGACAGCCCACTCCTGTGCAGGGCTTGCCTCTCGGATAAGCCGCTCTGAACAACAATCCCCTCCGGACGCGGGCATACCCACCCCAGCCACGGCAGCCCGGCCGTGCGGCCCAGTCGATGGCAGACCCGGAGGCAGGGTGGGCAGGGTTCACCCGCCGGGGGTGCAGGTCGGGCCCGGCTCGCCTCTCTCTCGCCCGCCCTCACGACTCCCGGCACGGCCCCACGGCCCTCCCGACCCGCGGCCCCTCGTTACCTCAAACACACTTCCCGCCACCGCCGCGGGCACCAGCGCGCAGGCTCGCCCCGCCCGCCGCCGCCGCGTTCACAGCGCTGCCCTCCGCCTCAAGGGAATTGTAGTTCTTCCAGCACCCCTTCCCCTTCGCGGCAGCGCCCCGAAAGCTGCGAGAGGGGCACGCCTGCTCCATCTCGCTCTCTTGGAGTGTTACCTGAAAGGCTCCGAGGAAAATAACCCAAATCTTTGAATGCAAGGGAAAAAAATGTGGCGTTGTGCCGCCATCTTGAATGAAGGCAACAAGCAACACTCTGCTCTCAGCCCAGATGGCGGCCGTCCCGCGGGGGGTGTGGTGGCGGCGGCGGGAGGTGGTGGCGGCGGCTCCGCCCCGCCCCGGGGTATATGACGAGACGGCGGCGGGGAGGAGGATGGGGAGTGGTTTTTGGTGACTGGAGACATGGCTCTGCACGGCGGGGACGCGCAGGAGAAGGTAAGCGGTCCAGGTGCGGCGGCGGCGTAGCGGGCTGGCCCCATGGGGTAAGAGGGAGCTCCCCGCTCCCTTTGCCCCCGGCGGCGCTGGGACAGTGACAGGGTTTTATTTCTGCTCCGGTTAGAGTTTGTTTTTTAAACATTAGTTACCTTAGTCGCACTTAGCTCTCCCGAGGGTAAGGGGGTTAGGGTGCCCAGGGTGAGCGTGAGGTGGCACCTCCTGAAGGAAGAGGCTTAGGGAGAGATAAGGTGATGGGGCAGGATTAAAGCTGGAGTGGGGAGGAGGAGGAGGGAAGGGTTGTGCAACTGCCGTGAGGCAGTGCGGGCTGCCCTCCTGGGCTGTGGCAGGAGCAGGGTGACGGCCAGGGCTCTGGAGCTGCAGGAACTGGGTCTGGCAAGGGATGCAAGAGCAGGACCTGTCTCTGGGCACTAGCGGCGAAGTGCTGTAGGCAGTTGTGCTGCAGAGGGTTCAACTTGCCCTTTCTCAGTGGGTCAGCTGCCTAGTGTATCTGTGACCAGCCTTCCTTATTTCTGCTGCCTGGCTTAATCTACCTAAACTACCTGATTTAATAACTATCCTCAACACACCTTGAATAGAAGGTAAGGCAGCCCTGTAACAGTCAGTGAATTGCTTCTTAGCCTTTCGTGTTGTTGCATCTTAATGTAGTTTTGCATTGTGATTAAGCTTAGTTCACTTGCAGGAAGATGACTTTGTTTCAAACTGCCAGGTGTGCTTAAGTCTCTTCAGTCTGTGTTTTCTCCAGCTCTTTGGAACATTTATGTTAGCTGACTTGAAGGCTAGAAATACACCAGGCTTGTTTACCAGTTTAGTAACTTCCTATAGATAGTTTCTTTCCATGTCTTTCCCTTACATATGAATCTTTTTTGAAACAATCCTGATCCAGTAGAACAGATAAAAGTTTATAGATCAACTGTTTTCTAGCAGTTTGCTGGGAGCTGCCCAGTGCTTTAACTGTTTTCTGCTGCATGTGAAACTATTTGTATTAAAAATGTCTGTATGAGTCTTTATAGTCTTTAAAATGAGTGTGAGTCTTCATAGTCTTGCAGGATCTGCAGGTGATGGGTGAAGGGGAAGGTCAAATATCAACTCTCTTGCAGCAATTGGTAACTTTTGAGTGTTTATGTGCCTTTCTAACTTAGTAGGCAGGAGTATTGGGGGAGGGGAAAATGTTCCCATGGTGAGGGTTGGAGTAGCTTTAAACTCTGATGTTCATTGGACATATATTAATTAGTTTGTTTCAGGTTTTAGTGCTGTCTTGGGATTCCAGCAGCACGGGGGAGGATAGGAATACTCCTGTCTTGTCTGTTCCTGTTTAGGTAAAGAAACAGCAACAGGGAACTGGTGTGTGGCCAGTAGATAAAGCCTGTACCTGTCAGGAAAGCTTTGTTAGGTATTAACCTTGAATAGGAACCACTGGTAAGTATAAACTAAAAACTGACCCTGAGGTGGCAAAGCAGGAGAGGATCAGGATATGTAGGAAGAAGAAGGGAGGGTAGGATAAGGGTGATTGGAAGTGCAGTGGGAAAAAAAGTGTAATCTGTCATGGGGGAGGAAAAGGCACTTCAGAATGTGAAGCAAGTAGTGGGACTGCCAAGCTAAGCTTGAGTAAATACCCTGGTATTTCCTAACGTTGGTGGCTTGATAGTATTTTAAGGCTTCAGTCTGCAGTTAAAATGTTATAGATCAAAATACTGAGAGTAAATATTGTAACCCTTCCTTCTCAAAGTGGAAGACAAAATGTTGTGTCATAGCCTGAGACTTGCTGTTATAACTCGCAAATGGTGATTCTCCATGCTGGACAAATTCTGCCATATGTTCTAAAAGGAGCAAGGGCATACTAGATCTTGCTTATGCTTAGCAAAACAACTTCTGCATGCTGCTGGGCCCAAAATCAAGTAGGGAGATGAACAGCTAGCAAGGTGAAAGCTACTGGATAAGGATAATGTACTATCAAGAACATACAGCCTCCATGAAGCTGGCCCATTGGTTTGGGCTGATGACACGAGTTGCAGTCTGTGAGAGGTGAAGCCAGCGTGGTGAGGCAGAATTTCTGAGGCTCCAATGGCCAGCTCTGGCCTCACTGCTGGAGGGCAGCAAAACAATCTTGTGGATGCTGACTGTGGCTTAGGGGTTTGCTGCCTTTGAACAATTTCCATTTTAGTCTTGTATGCTTTGTGTTACAGATGGCATATGGGCTAAGAGTGCTCAGCCACAGGCCATGCTCTATGGGCACACTACTGCAGCATGGTGGATTTGGCCTGAATGGCCAAAGCTGTTGCTTGAACCCTCAAGCTGATGAATCAGTGGGTTGGGTGCTGCTGGGTGGAGCAGGGTAAGCTAGCAAGGCTTTTGCTTGGAATATGGGATCCTTGAATGTTTCTAAACATTATTCCCTCTGTGTTCTTCCTTCTGTAAGGAGGTATGGGACCCCTTGGTTTCTGTAGAGGGTGATGCAGGGATCCTGCTGACAGGAGAGCCAAGTGATCAGGCCAGCTTATTGCATAGCCAGAGGCAACAGGTGCTCTGGCTATAGAGGCTGCCTTCCGCTCACTTGGCAAGCACTGTACTTGGTGAGGAATACCACTTCAGTGTGACTAAATTGAACTGTTGTTCCCTATTTATTGGTGCTTTAAGCAAAATAATGAAGACCTTTACATCACTGGAGTTCTACAGTCCGAAGTCCCAAATTTGGGAAAGCATTTTTTATAGCATGAGTAGCAACATGAAGACTGGTTCAATTTTTCTGGCTGTTTGCAAGCCAGACTACTTCAGGACTGTTCAGCTCAATGTCAGAGATAAGAGCAAGCCTGTCATGAAGGCTGCAGAATCAAAACTTCACATATGCTGTGTTGGCTCTTTACTGCTGCATGTGTGCAGATGTGTTTTTAGTATCTTGATTGAAAAGAAGCTTGAGCTACTTGTGCTGAATATGACTGAAATGTAGTTCCAGCAACTGATGCTACTAATATCTGCTGGCCAAATACTCTACAAGTCTGCTGGTTAACTCCTGGGTGTCAAAAAAGGCCTTTTGGAACTGATTGCTTTGTATAAACTGCCAGAAAACATTGTGATCTCTTAGTGCTCTCTGGAGAGCACTTAAACTGGTTTAATTAAAAAGACTGTTCTGTAAAAAGTAATGGATTCTGGGTAGTGGCAGATGTAATTACTACTAAAGTCTTCTTTGTGAGCTGTTGCTTGAATGACAGCAGGAAGGTGATCAGTAAGGGGAGAGGGTTTTTATAAGGTAGCTGACAATAAGCAGAAAGGTCTGATATAGGAGCCCTCGTCAAAGGGCTCCTTACTCTTTTCAGGAGCCTGGCTATGTGGAAAATCCCTGGATTAATCTGTCTTTGAGACAAGTACATATTCTTACTTCACCAGCAGTTGGATGTTGCACACAGTTGCTTGCGCTGGCAGATGCCTTTGTTAGAATGCAGAAGTGACATCAAGTCTTCCAGAGTTGATCTAAAACTGCAAAGGGTGTAACTTGAAAAGCAGCAGTTCAGGCCACACAACAGAACTAAGCGGCTTCAGTGGCTGAGGACATTTCCCAGAGATGCCTGCAATCATCAAGATGTGTTTGCATTTGGGTGAGGCCTGAACAGAAACTCAGTGTCTGTCATGTAGAAGCCTGGGTAGCCGATGGTCGATGGTCATCACTGTACTTAAATGATGCAAATCTTTTGTTTGGTTGGTTTTGGGGGGTTGTTTGGGGTTTTTTGGTGGTTTTGTGTGGGTTTGTTTGTTTGTTTGGGTTTTTGTTTTGGGTTTTTGTGTTTGTTTGTTTGTTTCCCCCTCCCTGGCATCTCTAACCAATATAAAAAAAAGGAAGTGCCATAAAACTCTACCTGGATTGGGCACAATAATGCTCTCTGCTGTTTCCTGGAACTTTAGATCAGGTGTTTATCATGGTGTCCTAATTAGTACTATAATATCTACTTCTGGTGTTCTGGTCCTGAAACCTAGAAAAGTTAATAATCAGTATGATGACTGTATGTTCTTCTGGAGGGCTCTGTTTGATGTCTTGTTTAATTTCCAGGTTAGACAGTTGTGGTGGACAGTATCTGTACTGAACAAGGCAAAGTTTTTCTTGAATCCTCAAGAAAGCACAGGCATCCTGAAATAAGTCACTAATAAGGCTGAGCCTAGTAGTGGGAGACATTGGCTTCTGCAGTCACTGCAAACCAAAAGTGGTTTCTGAGAAAGAGAAGTGAAAGTGGGAGTACTGTACTGGGTTTGGGTGAATGTTTCAGTCTGCAGCCCAGCCCAGCTGTTTCCCCTCTGTGTGTCCTCTGTACCTATTTGGTCATGTGCTGCAAGTAAGGAATGACTCCTTCCCAGCTGCTGAGCTTGGATTATAATTATATCCCCCCAAGAGTGTGAAGTGACACACTGGTTTCTGGTAAGTGGGATGGGGAAACTCCATTTCTCTTGCCCACTGCCTGGAGTGCAGGGAAGAAACAATAATGTCCTACCAGAGAAATGCCTTTGGATATGAAGGAGCTGCCAAACATAGTAGGCTAGAGAGCTAAGGAGGAGTGATATCCTGGGAAGGCCTTGGATTGGATACCTGCTGTGGTACAAGAACAAACCTGGGGCCTGGAGATGACAGTTTAATTCTCTGCACAACCTTCACATGACCATGAGCAAGTTGGTCCTCATTCCTACTTGTAGGATGGGTATAGGAGAGATGATGGCAGGAAAGGTCCTGAATGTGAAGCTGTTGATGCTGCAGAAGCAGATGTTTGTGTTGATCAGGGGTTGGAACATCTGCTTTAGGTGCTCGCTGAGTTAGAGCTGTGGTGACAGGAGGGGGACCACTTGCTTTCTGTTCGGTGCATAAGTGCTACTCCAGCACTTTTTGTCGGAAAACAAGCACTCCCTCCTCCTGAAGTTGGGTAGTGTGAATGCTCCCTTTGTAGTCTGAGCCTTGCTGCCATTGATTGTGTAATCCTAAAGGTCTCTGACCTGGAGTTAGGAGCTCACAGGACCTTCACAGGACTAGAATAGACCAGTGGTCTTATGATCCCGAGCTTCATATGGATAAAGAACTGAGGTTCTTTACCGAAGACCAACTCCTGAAGGGTAGAGGTCAGTAATCCTGTACTGTCTTCATATGTTTGAGACTGCGGTGGCCTTTAAGGCTGTGGTGTGTACATTTACAGCAGATGTTTAGGGCAGTAGAAGTACAAGATTTTTTTAGCGAGTGGCTTCATGGAGTTCTGAGGGGCAGAATCCCACCAATGTATATAGGGATGTTCTTGACCCTTGTCCTGTATTTGAGCTGGTCTCTTGCTTTGGGCCCCATGTGTAGTACATACTGTTCTGGAGTGCACAGCTGAACACTACTGCTGACTCCCAGTTGTTTCTGTGTAAATAAAGCCCTGCTGCAAGCATAAACTTACCCGTAGTATTATTCCTGGGAATTGCTGAAGCTACAGATTATGTGTTCTTGCCCCATTGTCTCTGCAGCTTATGCGGAGTGATGGGAAGACATGCCTGTAACGTGCAAACTGCTTTAACCTGACAAAGCAGTACCACCTTGTGTCAATACTTGTCCATCTCATGTGTAGACAGCATCTAATCATAGGTTACTTTTTCCATAAGACAATAAGAAAGCTTGCAGATTTAGAATTGACTGATTTGTGTAATCCTTTCCTTAGTTTAGCTGAAAGAAAACCGTTTCCTTTGGCCTATAATACTTTCCAGAGTCAGCAGTTTATATTGTTAGCGCTGCTGATCCTGTTTGGATATTGAAGATAAGTAAGCAGGATGTGAAACACAGAGGTCTGTATCTTGCTGCTTTGCCTGCTAGTGTTATCTGGCTGGGAAACACTGACCAACTTGCCTTTCATTCATTTGGCAACAGACAGTGAGCTGTGCTCCCAGTGGAAGTAATGCCTGACTACCTATCTTTTCTGTAGTGCTTGAATGGGGTGGCTTCTGCCCAAACCAGTGTGCTGTTTGGCCTGTGCCTTTCTAGAAAGTTTTAGAATTGCATGGCTGTGTGGGAACTGATTGTTGGAATCCCTGTGGAGTTTGGACTCCCACCATGTCCCTTTTGATGTGAGCAGTGCCTGGGACTGCTAGAAACTATGTTCCAGGGCATGCTCTGTAAATATGCTTCTTACCAGGGCAATACCCAGGATGGGCTAAAAGTCTCCTGTCCTACAGAAGTCAGAATGCATACAAGGTCATTCCATAGTCATAAGGTTTAAAAGGTTTATCTCATCTACCTTCTTTTAATTCTAGCTAACAGCAGGGATGCAGCAAATAGAAGTCTTTCTAACATGGCTGGAGGGATGAGGGTACAGTGACTTGGGTATCCGTCATTTACACATGGCAGTCTGATCACAGGGGGTAGCAGTAACCATTGAGGGCAGGCTGGATAGAGGCAAATGCACACTGGCCTAGCAGCTGTGTCCTCTGCAGGCAGCCAGAGAGAATTGTTATGTACCAGATCTGGGCTGCAGATGACCAGCCTAGGGCAGGGAGGGAGTTTCCAGAGCCTTTTGGAAGCAAAGCTTCACCTTATAAAGGGCAGCCTATCAACAGTTCTTAGCAGCTTTACAGAGGCTTAAGGCAACATTCAAACAATCTGTGATATGACAAGATTCCTCAGATGTTGTCTGATGTAATTTGTTTGTGGGCTTTGGTGTAGCAGCAAGTGATAGGAGCATGCTCCTGGTTGGTGTGTTGTGTACACTAGCATGCTGCAGAGTGGTGAAACAACATAAGTTATAGTCTGGTTTTCCAGCTTGCTTTTCTGGGAAGGCCTTCGGAATTATCTCCAAAGGATAACCTCAGGATTCATCCTGGCTCTGACGGACACTCTTCAGCAAGCTTCCTGTGTTGTGACCTTGATTTCTAATTGTTTCTCCCTTGAGCAGAAAATAAGAATGATTTGTTAGGCTGCAGCACTCAAGGGAGGGCCTCTTAGAAGGCAGACTTCATATGTAAGCTAGCGGATCCTCAACTGAAAAGGCTATTCCACTGCTCTGGAAATTTCAGTATAACTGAAATTATATTCTGGGCCTAGGCTGTTGGAATGAAGAAATAAACTCCCAAAGGAAGATGCTGGCCTGTTTGAAGCACTGGGAAGGCAAGTTGGGTCTTTGTTGAACCAGGTCTCCTATAAATGGTGCCTCACATGGCAAGCTCAGAAACATCAACAGCTCTCTGATCCAAGGCTGAGGAAAGAGATCATAAGGCTAGACTCTGAATTGCTAATGTTCCACAATCCTGTGGAGGCACAGAATAACAAAGAGAACTATTAGGGTTGGTGCTACCTTCTAAATGACATAATAGGCTTTGGCTTGGTGGGCTCCAAGTAAACAAGTACTGGAAGAAGGATGTTCCTTTCAAGAAGAGAATTCCCAAATACCTCTAGTGTGAGCTCCAATAATCCTTTCTTCAGACTTTAGTCTAACAAACCCTTTTCTTTCCTGTGCTTGGAAGGGAAGGCTTGTTACAGTGATGTGCAGGTATTGTCAAGTCTGTCATGCTTGGCCATATGTACTGTTCCTGAAGGTAGTGGTGTAATGCAGTGTGATTCTTGTTGACAGCTGATGATCAGTCTAGCTTCATTAAACCTCCCTGATGCTTGACCAAGGCTTATACTGTGAATTCTGTTGCAGCTGAGGTCTGTATCTGTAGACCTGAATGTTGATCCTTCTCTCCAAATTGATATACCTGATGCCCTAAGTGAAAAGGACAGAGTGAAGTTCACTGTGCATACTAAGGTAAGGTCATGAGGAAAAAGAGGTTATGCAAGTAAATGTGTATTTGCAGTACACCTACCTGTAAAGATGGGTTTGGCAATGAAGGAACTATAATTAGATGGAGATTTTCCACTTAAAGGTGGCTTGAAGATGTGTATATAAAACTTCAGATTCCCTAAGACTTGAACACTCCAAACAAAGACAAGGTTAGCTGATCATTAAGTTGGCTTTACTAAGGAATCCTAGCTAGACACCAGAAGGTTGGGGATAAGAAAGCAGCTACTGGGAAACATCACAAAATAAACTGCATTAGTGCTGTTGCACAACAGTGCCTTTTATCTAACAGTCTTAGTGGTACAGCTCTTGAGTGAGTGCCAGCTCAGCTAAAAGGGAGTGGCAAGGCTCTTACTAAGCAGAAAACTTCCTTTGGAAATGGAAAGAGCTGATTTACAAAACAGTAAGGGCTTTATATATATCTTCTCTTCCAGACTACACTGCCAGCTTTTCAAAGCCCTGAGTTTTCAGTTACACGGCAGCATGAAGACTTTGTTTGGTTGCATGATACGCTCACTGAAACTGAAGAGTATGCAGGTCTCATTGTAAGTACTTCCTAATTCTAACTGAAAAACTGTAGCAATCTAAAGTGCATACTAGTAAAGGTGTGAAGTATGTTTTATCAATGCTAGTAATGTGTCATGGCTTGGGTATTCCCTACGCTTTCTGTTTCCTTAATTCCCAAACAACTTGAGTGGTGTGGCATCTATGTTAACTTCGCATATAGCTTGGAGCAGTAAAAAAGACTTGATGTTCAGAGAGTCCTTGACTCTGTGGTGGTATTGATATCTGCCTGAAGACAACAGTGAAATAATATATTAAATATTGTCTGTCTTTCCTGTCATGGTTCTTTAGGAGGCCTTGTGGGCCACAGAAGATGGTTGGCTATGGGGTGGATTATAGAGGCTGTTCTTCTGGGTTGGTTTCCCTCCCGTGGCAGGGGTAGCACAGAACTGGGAGGGGCAAACAGGGACCTAGATGTCAATATGCCTCTAGGATTCCTGGTTCATGCACTATTTGCCACGCTTTTCCTGATGAGACAAAAGAACCTCCTTCCAGAGAGGGCTAGAAGTAAAGTTTGGAAAACATTATTTGCTAGTATTTATCACTAACCATTTCCTTGGCTAGATACCTCCAGCACCTTCAAAGCCTGACTTTGATGGTCCCAGAGAGAAGATGCAGAAACTAGGGGAAGGAGAAGTGTCTATGACAAAAGAAGAATTTGCCAAAATGAAACAAGAACTAGAAGCGTAAGTAAAATGACTCTACTGCCAAAAGCTGCACTTAGAGAAGCCTCCTAGGAGAGCAACTTTATTTTATTTGGTGATCACTGATCTTGAGTGTGACTGATTTGAAGAGTGTCTTGAAAATCTGGAGCTGAGGACTTGACAAAAGTTTCTTTCAATTGGAAAAGTTCCTGGCTAAAGAGATTGAAAATAACTTCATTATCACTAACTAGCTATTTCAGAAGCCTACTGTTGAATATTTTCACTAGATAACTTGAAGTAATTTTTGTATATTGAAGAAGGTGGTACAAGAGAGGATCTCAATCTGTTCTTTCCTTTCAGTGAATACCTCGCTGTCTTCAAGAAGACTGTATCATCACATGAAATTTTCCTTCAGCGGATTTCTTCTCATCCTGTGCTCAGCAAAGATCACAATTTTCATGTTTTCTTGGAGTATGACCAGGATGTAAGACTTCTCTGTTTTTTCCCCTCTGCTTTCCAAGTGAGGCAAATTGTTAGGAGTGCTGCTGCTTTTTTCTGGCACAGTCAAAATGTGTGAATCTATAAGCAACATTAAGAAGTAGATATTGCAAGTACTTATGTGAGATGAAAGCCTGACCTTTACACCTTCTTCTGTTATAAATCTCAGTGTTCCTAAATCCTTGTCAAATTGGTTAGGAAGCCAACTTTGCATGTCTTTGTCTTGGGAACAAGCATAGTTCAGGTGTACCTGTGCTGTGTTGCATAGTCCTAAAACTGAAGAACAGAGGTGTATTAAAGTTAGTCTTGCATCTCTTTCATCATACCTAATTATGAGTGCTGGATGCTTATCCAAGATGTATGTCCTGATTTTGGCTAGGACAGACTTAATTTTCTTGTGGCAGCAGTGAGGGAGAGCAAGAAAGGGGCTGGGCTGGGGGAGGTTACATATGGGGCACCTAGGTTGTATTCCACATTACTGGGGGGTGGAAGTAAGGGATTCTCACTTAGTGAAAAAAGGGGGCATTGGCTTGGGGCTGGTAGCGAAAAGGGCCGTGTGGAGAGTCCGTGGCCATTTTCATCTGTCTTGGGCCATGCGGGGCCTCGGTCACTGAGCACCTTGTTTGTATGTAAAGTTTACATACAAACCCTCTTCTTGCATACCTTTTGTTATTAACATTATAACGATGATCTCGGTGATCATCAGAAATCGACCTGAAGGTGAAAATTTCAGACTATCATCAGAAGAGGAAGAGGAGCAGGTGACACCTGCTGAGGAGGCCCCACCATATAATCAACTACCCAAAAATGAAAAGTGACGCACTCTCTTCAGTGATGGTTCCTGCCGTGTCATAGGGACAAATCAAAAATGGAAAGCTACCATATGGAGTCCTATGCAGTGAGTTGCAGAAAATAATCAAGGGACACGTGGATTGAGTCAGGTTGCAGAGCTGAAAGCCATCCAACTGGCTTTAGATATCGCCGAAGGAGAGAAGTGGCGAACATTCTACACTGACTCATGGATGGTAGCAAATGCTCTCAGGGAATGGCTAGACCAATGGAAAAAGACCAGTTGGCAGCACAGAGGTAAACCCATCTGGGCTACTGAATTGTGACAAGACTTCACTACCTGGGTAGCAAAGTTGATTGTGAAATTCCATCATGTAGATGCACATGTACCTGAGAGACAGGTTATTGAGGAGCATTGCAGCAATGGTCAGGTAGATCAAGCTGCCGAGATTAAAGTATCTCAGGTAGATCAGGACTGGCAACACAAGGATGAATTATTTCTGGTGCAGTGGGCCTGTGTTGCCTCAGGGGAGAGATGGTACATACAGGTGTGCTCATGATCGAGGGGTGGACTTAACCATGGGCACTACCTCCCAGGTTATCCATAACTGTGAAAGATGCTGCCATCAAGCAGGCCAAGTGGGTGAAGCCCCTGTGGTATGGGGAACAACAGTTGAAATATAAATAGGGGGAGGCCTGGCAGATTGATTACATCACACTCCTGCAAACCTGCCAAGGCAAGTGCTACGTGCTTAGAATGTTGGAAACAACTGCTGGATTGTTGGAGACTTACCCTGTGCCTTATACTGCTGCCTATAACACTATCTTGGACCATGAAAAGCAAGTCCTGTGGCAACATGACACCCCAGAAAGAATTAAGTCAGACAATGGGACTCATGTCAAAAACAGCCTCACAGACACCTGGAACAGAGAACATGGTACTGAGTGGGTATATCATATTCCCTATCATGCACCAGCCTCTGGGAAAGTTGAAGGGTATAATAGACTGTTACAAACCACACTGGAAGCAGTGGGTGGTGGAACCTTCAAACATTGGGATCTACATTTAGCAGAGGCCACCTGGTTAGTTAACACCCAAGGCTCCACCAGTCAAGCTGGCTCTGCCCAATCAGAACTGCTGTGTACTGTGTAAGGAGATAAAATCCTTGTAGTGCATATGAGAAATGTGTTAGGGAAGACAGCTTGGATTAGTCCTGCCTCAAGCAAGGGCTTGTATTTGCTCAAGGACTTGGATGCACTTGGTGGGTAATGCAGAGAGACAGGGAAACACTATGTGTACCTCAAGGAGATTTGATTTTTGCGGAAGAACCTTCTGTAATATTGTGAGTTGTATATGTTATATTGGTTGCTGAATGACAGTGCCACTGTGTGCCATAACTGCCATGGACAGGGAGGATGGACTGCCCCTAGTATACCAGCTGGGAGCTCCTGATGCAGCTTACAACCAGCTGATAACACACCAGCTCTCCTGACCTGGAAGACAAAGAGGATAGATAGAACCCACAGTCATGGACTAAATAAACTCAACAGACATCTTGCAGGGATGGCCATTGACTACAGGAATAATATCTGTGGTTGTGTATATTTATACATATGTATATAGTTGGAAGGCCCTGGTGGTCTAGTGGTAAAGGCGCCGCGCTATCACCGCGGAGACCCGGGTTCGATTCCCGGTCAGGGCCACTCCCGGGCAGGTGGGGCTCGTCAGCCCTTAAAGGCAACCCACCTACGTCCTAAGGACCTCGCTGCCACTGTCCAAGCTCGCTTGGCCCCGGCAGATGAACCTTAGGATTAAAGGGTGGGCTCAGTTCCGCGCACACTGTGTCTCACCTAAAAAAATCCAATGCGCAGGCTGGAAGGTGGAAAGACCTTCCCCGGATCTTCGCTCGCGAAGACTGGCCATTATATAGTTGGAGGGGTCAGATCCAGGCATGACATAGATGGTATAGAATAAGGAGTGGTTAATGTCCTGGTTTTGGCTAGGACAGAGTTAATTTTCTTGTGGTAGCAGTGGGGGAGAGCAGAGAAGGGGCTGGGCTGGTGGAGGTCTGCATGGGGCACCTAGGTTGTATTCCATACCACTCATATCATTGCTGGGGGGGTGAAAGTAAGAGATTCTCACTTCTCTGGAAAAAGCAGCATTGGCTTGGAGTTGGTAGAAAAAGGGGGCCGTGTGGAGGGTCCGTGGCCATTTCTGTCTGTCTTGGGCCACGCAGGGCCTCAGTCAGTGAGCACTTTGTTTGTATATAATTCTCTTTTGTTATTAATATTGTTACTGTTACTATTTGTTATTTCACTACTGCTTTTCAAGTAAATTTTTCCTATCTCAATTCAAAAAATCTCTGGTTTTAATCTCCCTCTCACCAGGAAATGTTTTGAGGGGCGGAAAGGGAGCAGCTTGACTGGGGTTTAATTTTCTAGCTGTTTTTTAGAACCAGCACAGTATGTAAGGAAGAACCGAGCTGTTTCTGGGAATGGCAAAAACTCTGTGGCACAGGATAATTGAACTACTTCTAGCTGAGCTTTTTGTTACGTATTATATTTGTTATGCTGTTATTGTGGAGGGTTGGAAATCAACCTGCTCTGACATATGCTAGGTATAAATGATGTTACTACATTTCAAGAGTCAAAATAGTCACTTTTTTCACCACTGGTGATAACTTTAAACCTGTTTTTGCCTCTCTGTTGCAGCTGAGTGTTCGGAGGAAAAACACTAAAGAGATGTTTGGTGGCTTTTTAAAAAGTGTGGTAAAGAGTGCTGATGAGGTCCTCTTCTCTGGAGTCAAGGTAAGGTTGTTGGTTTACCTTTTATTTACCCCAATCTTGATTTTTTTGTGCTTTCTGCTCCAGGGAAGTTACTCATGGGTGCTTCAGGCTTGATGTGCATGAGGCTCAGTTACTAATGTCAGCCTGCCTTGCTACTGCTGTCCTAGCCTGTATTAATTTTGACTTCTCTAAAAACAAGACATTGGAGCTATAGACTGTTAAATTTCAGTGTATACTTCAGTTTCCTGGTGGATGCAAAAGAGTTACTTTAATACCTTATTCTACTGGGGAGGAAGGAATTACACCTTCAGCAAACGTGCTTGTGGCTGATGTCTACTTTGGAGCTCTAAATTCATGGGTTTCTGCTTGCACTAGACCAAATACTATAGACTAGTGTAACTGGTCCAACTTCAGCTTTTTCTACCACGTTACCATGGTACCTCTTCCCAATAGGCTTGCTGTCCTAAGCAAATGTTACAATATGTATCATGTTTAATATGGATGCAAGCAAGCTTGTAAACTGCTAGGCCTGAGCCGCTGTATTGCAACAGGCCTAGGAAATAAAATTCCAACAGTTGGTAGCCCTGAGGGCTGTCAGATAGCAATTTACTGGTTGCTTCAGACAGTCTGTATCAGTGAATACTTGAGTGTCAGCTTCATTTTCACCACACAGTGAAAAAGAAACTTGCCAGATGGCTTGGTGTGTTTAAACCCTTGTCTCAGGATCTTGTCTTGAACTCAGTTTTTCAACAGGGATTGGTGAGCCTATGCTCAGATCCAGGCTATGGTTGTTTCTTTGGCTCTTTTCAAAATAGGGAAGCGTTTCCATTCTGCAGAAACTGACTTAACAGGTCATACTCTTTTTCAGGAAGTAGAAGATTTTTTTGAGCAAGAGAAGACTTTTCTTGTGAACTACTACAACAGAATCAAGGATGCATGTGCAAAAGCAGATAAGATGACAAGATCTCATAAAAGTGAGTATTTTCAAAGACCTTTGAGAAATCATGCAGTTTTGCTGATTTCAGCCTGAAAACTTTGTCTTGTTCTTGCAGATGTTGCAGATGATTATATTTATACTTCAGCTTGCTTGAACAGCCTGGCATTGGAAGAACCTACAGTTATCAAGAAGTAAGCAATTCTAACTGTTCATAAACATATCCTGAGTCTGGGAATACCAAGTTCCTTCTGTAAAATCCAGAGGATTGAGTCATAGCTGGTTTGAGTTTCTTGAATTACAAGCAAGCAGCATTAAAACTCTTTCCCCTGGCACTCCTGGTGCGGCAGACCTAATGTTATCAACTGCAACTTAAATAATAGTTGATCTCTTGCCAGTTGTGTCCTAGAGCAGAATTGTGCTGATTGTCAAAGCTCCTTCTTAGCAGAAGTTTCCTTGAATTTTTTCAGGTCACAAACTCCCAGAGACTATTGGAGAAAGGGTTTATGCATGTGTGTTCTGATGTGCTGTTAAATATAACCGCAACTTACACTAAGTCTGTGCTATCTTCTGGACCTTTGCAGTTCCAGAATAGTTGGGAATTTTTAAGCTGTAGAAACCTAGTTACCTATTCTGAGGTGAATTCTTCCACCTCTCAACTTTGCTGTCAATTTACCAAGACCTTGTTAAAACAATGTATCACTGAAGAAACAAGCTGGTTCATCCCTCTTGGGAGGATAGCAGCAGGGAAATTCTCCACAAGACCTTTATGCTCTTAAGATCACCATTTTTACTTCAAATGGTGTCTAGCTGGTCAGCTGTTAGGCTAGAATCCAGCACATTGAACCTTTTGTCCAGGTCTTTGCCTAGACCCAAGTTCTTTTCAAGTGCTTGTCTGGATCTGTATGCAGGAGAAAACTCCAGCCTTCAGCTTTTTGGTCTCCTGCCAATTGATCCTGGCATTTTTCAGACTAAGAAGTATCTAAGCCTTACTTATGCTTCTTTTTTCCCTTCCCCCAGGTACTTGTTGAAAGTTGCAGAGCTCTTTGAGAAACTCAGGGTAAGGGAAGCTTTAGCAGGGGGTGGGGTAGGGGGAAAGAATATGTATGTTGCTGTTACCTGTTCCATACCAACTATTTTTATTTCTTCTGCAGAAGGTAGAGAGCAGAGTTTCGTCTGATGAAGACTTAAAGCTCTCTGAACTGTTGAGATACTACATGCTCAATATAGAAGCTGCTAAGGTGAGAACAGTTTTCTTTTTGAAGCTTAGTTTTGTTATAAGCATCATGACTCATGCATGGTATTCTTTATGCTTTAAGAAGACAGGAAGGTGGATCCTTGTTTTGCCTAAGAAACCTGACACTCTTGAACCACAGGAGAATTATAGAAGCTATATATTAGCTGGAGTCCAGCCACTTACAGAAGATCTTGGACCAGTTTTTCTTTGGCATGTAGTGGGAAAACTCTTTTTAAATTTCTGTAAGTTAGAGCAAACCCAATTTAAGTCTGCAGCAGCATTCTTTCCTGTCCCCTACCTGAGTACTCATGGACTTGTCATAAAATCAATGATGACTAATTAGTAGTTGGGATTTCCTTCAGGGATTTTAAAGTACCTTAGCACAAATATGCTGTAACAGGTGAAAGCTATTGGAACCTGGACTTCCAAGAGGGCTTTGGTAGATTGATTGACTGCAAAAGCCTTGCCAGCAACTCTTTTCAATCAATAGTTCATTTGGCAAGGGGATGTCTATGCTGAAGGTATCTAGGTATAACTTATTGGGTGTGTTCATCTAGTGTCTTACCTTTAATGTCAGAAATCCTCAAACATTCACTACAGGCTCCCCCTGTGTGGTCTACTGTTATTTAGATATTAAGACTGCACTGCTGCTAGATTAGAAAGGAATCGACTCAGACCTGTAATACTTCTCACATCTAGGTTAGTATAGTGCTTCAGCCAAACTGTTAGATGTCCAACAAATTAAATATCTACCGGTAGTAGACTGAGGGAATTCAGAAAATGCTATTCCTCCTTAGTGGAGGAACTTACCTTGTAGCAGGATAAACTACTTTAAGGAAAAAACCTATGCCTAGAGCAGCCCTCAGAATTCCTTGACTAAGGCATAAGTGGCTGTCCTGAAAACTTAGTGCTGCACTGGTAAAACGTTCCTATTGCTATGCCAAGAGTGTGGCAGGCTATAATAGCTTATTGAAGGAAGCAGAATCTGGTGCTGAAAAAAATGAAACCTCCTGCTGCTAAGGTAGTTGTAACCTCAGTTTGGGAAGTAGTCCTCTTAAGGCTTTGGTGTGCTATTTCTGTCTACATTCAGGATCTTCTGTACAGACGAACAAGGGCTCTTGTTGATTATGAAAACTCGAACAAAGCTCTAGATAAAGCCAGACTAAAGAGCAAGGATGTTGGGCTGGCTGAGGCACATCAACAGGATTGTTGTCAGAAGTTTGAAAAGATTTCAGAATCTGCAAAACAAGGTAAAACTGACTTTACTGTATTTATGCTTAAAAGGAGATCTTAGTGCAGTCTGGGTCTCTATCTGACCTACAACTACTGCAGGCTTCTGAACACTCTCCTGAAGTGAGTAGCACCTTGCAGGGCAGTACGGATGCCTGTAAAACGAACACAGCTAAACATTTTTAAAACCATTCTTTGTAGCGGAGCAGTGTCATTACTAGACCAACCTTATTTATAAGCCCCTAGTATTTGCTTTCTAGGTTGAAATGTTGCTCTCGGCCTCCACCTGAAGGTAACTATTCAGGCTTCTAATTGTCTCAGTTAGAACTGTGCAAACAGGCTTTTGCTCTGTTGCAGTACAGCTGAGTGACTTATACAGAGTTTCAAACACAGTTCTTCATAGAGGACTATATATATGGACAGTATAAAGCAGAGGAAACATGCTTTCATGACACACGTGCTCTTTCCTTGGTGTGTCTGGCTTTTAAATGCTCTGTGTTCTCACAGAGCTTCTGTGGCTTATTACCATTTTACTCTGGTTGTCTTCCTACAAAGCTTTTCTATCTTAGGCTGCCTGTTTCCTCACCAAGATGTTGTGTCATATGATGAATGCACCTCTGTCTAGAAAACAGCAAGACTAACTCTTGAACCTTTTTTTCTTTTGTCAAATACTGTGATTAGAGCTGCATAACAGAATTCATGAAATATAAGGGGCATTACTGAAACTTGTCATACTTTCTATATGTCTTACCTTTGTTCTTCTCTACAGAACTGATGAGCTTCAAGCAGAAGAGAATAGCAGCATTCCGCAAAAATTTAATTGAAATGGCAGAACTGGAAATAAAACATGCAAAGGTGTGTTCTTTTTGGAATTTAACAGGCATTGGTTCAGAGCAGTAAGTACTGTGTCACTTGGACAGTTTGCTGGGTTCTCTTTAAAACTAGGAAGTGTGAAATAGAACAGCTAGGCTCTTCAGCTGAGATCTTAAGAGGAGAAGCTGTAGGCTTAGTGCATAGAAAGAACGAATGCTGACAATCTTATCTGTCCCATGCAGAAAGTCTGTATTTAATCTGTCACTCCTAGGACACCAGCCTACTGCAGTAAGTGAGAAGTCTCAGTTTTGCTGGTAGTACACAACAGGTCATAATGGCCAGTCTTTGCGAGCGAAGATCCGGGGAAGGTCTTTACACCTTCCAGCCTGCGCATTGGATTTTTTTTTAGGTGAGACACAGTGTGCGCAGAACTGGTTAGCTTGTTTTCCTTTGGAGCCCCTGGTGGTCTAGTGGTAAGGGCGTGGCGCTGTCACTGCCGAGGCCCGGGTTTGATTCCCGGTCAGGGCCACTCCCGGGCAGATGGAGCTCATTAACCCTTAAAAAGGCAACCCATCTACGTCCTAAGGACCTCGCTGCCACCGTCCAAGCTTGCTGGCCCCGGCAGATGAACCTTAGGATTAAAGGGTGGGCTCAGTTCCGCGCACACTGTGTCTCACCTAAAAAATCCAATGCGCAGGCTGGAAGGTGTAAAGACCTTCCCCAGATCTTCGCTCGCGAAGACTGGCCATTATTATTATTATTATTATTATTATTATTATTATTACACAACAGGTCACCTGACTTCCCATCAGGCAGCCTCGCCTGTGCCTGAAGGCATCTGCTGCTTCCAGTGCTCCTGAGTGCTGTGAGAGCACATCCTGCAGCTTGCGATCCAGTTGTCGATCTTTCGCACTTGGCTTGTCACTGAAAGGGGACAGTGACTTTGTAGTAGCCTTTACCAAGCTTCACTGAGCAGGCCTAAACGTTGCCGCAGGGACCACACCATGTACTGCCAGCTTAATCTAGGAAAGTATACACAAGTTATGGGGTTTGTTAACTTAGTGTAGGGAACAAAGCAGGAAGAAGTTAACTCTGCATCCTCAGCTTCTTGAAGTATGAAAGTCTAATGTCTCTCTCCCTAAGAGTACTGGACTTAACCACAGGTAGCTACTTCAGTGCTGAACTGGAATGTGACACAAACGGCTTGACACTACTGCTCAGTTTGGCGCACTTTTAAAGCTTACTGCTGCCTCTTGCCCCTCTCCTTATCACAAACTGAGTCATGGTTGAAGACCTTCAGGAAGAGGTAGATTGCAAACTATCATCTGGTTTTGATTTTTTTTTTTTTTTTACTGCTTGAATGCTTGTCTTTGCAGTAGAAGATCTTTAGAATTGGCACAGGCTACAGAATCCTGGGATGGACCTACTATTTTGGAAGGAACTTCATTATGAAAGGCAGGATTTAAATTATTAATTATGCTCATCTGAAATTAATTCTTTTCCTTTCCAGAATAATGTTTCTCTCCTGCAAAGCTGTATTGACTTGTTCAAGAGCTAAGGCGCCTTAATCTGAAAATGTGACAAAAGCATCAATTGCACTCAATGACCAGGGGCAACTTATTAGCTTGACTTCATTAGCTTAAAATAAATATTGTCACTGAGATTCGGTTCGACTAATACTTAAATATGTTGATAGCAATACATTGACTTTATTGGTATAAATGAGAGCTGAATTATGTATGAATTGTCTGGATGTAGCTAACATCCTATTGGCTGATAACTCAAAATGAGTCAAATGTAAGAAATTAATTTGCTGTTGACTGACTTCATCTAGCAGAAAAAGTGTACTGTGAACTCTTTTTTTTCCATATCATTATCTGCCTCTTCATGGCCCTGATATATTTAAAACTTGCAAGTGGAAGTGACTTAAGTGTAGTAATTTTATAAAGTAAATACCTTAACATTCCACTTCCCAGACCGATTTCTACTACAATATATTTCTATAAATACATTCACTATTTGTACACTTGGGCAATATAGCAAATAAAGACGTCTGATACAACAAACTGTTGTAGTATGGCAAGAATTTGTGTGGGATCTAAAATGACAAAACAGGCTTCAGACACAGAACTATCAGAACTTACTCATCAGTTGGACCTCTTCAGATAACTAGAGATAAATATTTGTCACAATAGGATTGTTCTTAGAATGAATGTTGACATGAAATGTGTGGACTTGCAGTTATGTTGCTGTTTGAGTGGGTGTCTGCAGCTTTTACTTCCAATACGCTGCACATGAGGAAACCAAGCATTTCAAAAGCACTGATATGTATAGATAGCTTGAACTCCTTCACATTGACAAAAGATGAAGTATTGTATAGTAATCTTTACACCTCCTGCTAGCACCAAGAGGCTCTTTAAAACTTCAGGGCTTCTGGAAGCACAGCCCTAGACAGTCATCTGTAAGATAAATCTCTTGAAATGTTGCATGGCCAAATGGGTGCGCACTGCCATAGCGGAGGCAGCTCAGGCTGTAAACCCCAGGGTCTGCTTTTGGCAGTTTACTATCATTTGCATATGTGGATAGAGGTCAGTGAGTCATATCCTTCTAAAGACAACTTTTTGAGTTAGATGAGTGTCTCAGCCTTGCTTAATTTCATGTGACTAAACTTCTAATCATGCTGAAAGTAGGCTCTGTGCTTGTGCTCTGGGCAGACTGCCTGAAGCAGCTTCAACCAGAGAAGCTCTGAGAATGGGCACCTCAGTGGCAGTATCTAAGGATTGTTCAGTAGTTTACTTTCCTCTGACCTACTGCTTTTTCTTCTTGGTATCCCATAAATACTGAGCAGCTCTTACCCACCACACCATCCTGCAGCAGTCTAGCTGAAAAATGTCTGAAATGTCTCCTTTTACCTTTTTTTGACAGGAACAGTTTCAACTTGTGGTTGCTTGCCATAAGCTCATGGCTTGTACATGTGTAACCTCTATATAGCTGATAGCTGACAGATCTCGGGGCATTCCTTTCCTTCCGTCCCTTCGTCTATTCCCCTTATAGATTTTCTTTAATTCACATTTCCACCTCGAAGATAACGGGTGCTGCATTACGCAAGCCCAAAAAAGAAATTTATAAGTGTGTCAGGGCTGTTATAGAACTCCGAGGACATGAATATGACAAGGCATCCCTAAAATCTTTAGCTAAATGGCTTCATGTCAATAAAACTTTTGTCCTAGAGGAGTTAAATTACGAGGACTGGGACAAGATTGGAGAAAGCATGTGGAAAGGGGAGATAAATTGGCTGCTGAGGGACTAATTGCGGGGAGACTTTTAATGTTGCTGCAACCTAAGAAGCTAACTGCTGAAGTAAAATCATCTACAACAGCAGTGAAACAGCACTCCCAAGATGGCGGCAGCAAGGAATTCTTAGCTGTGTCACCTTCACCAACTCACAAGATGGCGGGGAACAACAAGCTGAGTGAAGGGGAACAAAATGGCTGTGGGATTTTGGGACACTGCATGCCTGGCGACAAATTAGTATGCGGCGGGAAACACCGTCCCCCCTGAGGGCAGCAAGGGGGAGGAGGCGAGGGCAGAGGTTTCTCCGAACGTGCGGGGGTGACTCCACCTCCATACACCTCCCAAAGCATTACATCATCACTAGTCTCCTCCCACCATAATGTAACACCGGAAACTGCCCACATTAAATATGGCGCCGAGCATGGTCCTTCCGGTCCTACCGCCGCCTACCCTTCCAGCCTGCGTAATGTCAACATCTGGTGTCATGGCGCCGCCCATGCACCGAGGCCTGTGGCCTGTCCACCGTTATTGGCACCCTACACTGATGCAGCACACACACCCTACAACTCACCACCACCGGTACCTCCCACACATGCTCCATCTGCAGATGCTCAAGGCCTAGTTCCACCTGCGGCTTTTCAGCATTTCTCTTTGAACACCCTCCACACACAACACACAACTCTCCTCTACTACAAAAACCTCATGGTCTAGTGTACCACCACCAACACATGCAACATCACAGACACAAACATCCTCACAAGAAGATCTCACTGATACTGAAGATATACAAACTCACACACCTACACCACCATCCATGAACACTATCATTAAAAATGCTAGGCCCAAGCTATTTACACCTACTAAAACACTTACTTATAAGAAGATTTCTAAAAATACATCAGAAACACAAACTCTTACTGCACCTAGTACACATAATAAAAGTACCTCAGCAGTTGATACCACTACGTCTTATGATTCTGCTGAAGAAACTCAAACATTTGCGGCTACCACGTCTGTCCAAGCCCAAGTAGCCCCAGGGCCTTGGATAGACATCACAGACCAGGTGGTTGAGGCACATGAACGTACCTGGAAAACGTTCCACGACCAAGCAGTTTTAGCCAGAGATTTAGAAATGCTTCAAGCATTCCCTGTATATACTGACAAGGGAAAGCCTCCCGAGTGGAGGCCTTTCTCCTATCCCATCATGAAAGATGTCAAAAAAGCGATTGTAGAATATGAATTAAGTGCTCCTTTTACAATTGGTTTAATTGAGTCTTTTTTCCAGGCGTACACCCTTATCCCGAATGACATCTGGTTGATATCTAGAGCCTGGTTGCCTGTCATTCAATACTCTGCCTTTGAGGCAGAGTGGAAAGCATTAATTAAAAAATATGTAAAAGAAGGTAGTAACTTTAGAGGTATGCCTCCTGGACAGGCTGTTGATAGAATGTTGGTGAAGGAGCTTATTCATCTAATACTGATCAAGCTAGAATACACAGAGACATATAGAATAAAACACGAGATCTTGCTTTTAAAGCAATTAAGAAGGTAACGAAAGTCACAACATCGACACCTTCATATACCCTTATCTTCCAAGGAGTCAAGGAACTATTCCTTCATCTTGCTACTCATTTAAAGGAAGCCATTGTTAAACAGATCTCAGATGAACCATCTCATGAGGTGTTATTCAAATCCTTGGTGGTGGAGAGAGCCAACGAGGAGTGCCAAAAACTCCTCAAGCCTCTTAAAAATCCAATGCTGTTAGATAAGATTGAGGCATGTTGAAATGTTGGCTCAACTAAAGAAAAGATTCGACTAATGATGTGTGCGACCAAGGGCAAGTGTTTCAGCTGTGGGCAGTCAGGTCATCTAGAAGGGAAATGCCCAGATACAAGACCTAAAGGTCAAATGTCTAGATTTAATTGTCAGTGCTGTGGAAAAGGGAGGCATTGGACCTCCCAATGTCGATCTACCACTGACATAAATGCACAGCCCTTGCCGCCCAAATCACCTGATTTTCAGTATAAAAAAAGAGTTACTTTCTGCACCCCTCCATCATCAAGAAAGGAATACAACACTGGTCAGGGAAACTTCCAGTAGAGTGCCAAGAGAGGCGCTCAGACACCAAATTCCTCCAACCAATGCCATTGTCAACACCCTCTCAACAGGACACAGTCAGACCCAAGCCTCACCATCCAGGAACTCGATTAAACCATATTTCAAAAATACCACTTCACATATGCTTTCCATCGTTAGTTTTCAACTTAGAAGAAATCACCGTGACAGTTAAGCCCACAGCAAAACTGCAAAGAGACCAGCAGTATCTAGTCACAACATCAGAAGCAGCTGTGGAAAAAGGAATTATAGCTGAGACTGAAATTATCACTGATATTGACTCTGATAACATTTTCATAACACTTCGTGTTCCTTTTCCTCCCTCTGAGATCTCAGCTAAGGAACCTGTAGGTGCTGTTCTTCCTTTGAGTCAGCTTTCCTGTCAGCAAGAAGAGGAAGTAAAGACTGTCATTGGATACAAACTGTCGGTGCAGAGCAGCCAACCATGACAGTAACAGTTACATCACCTGCAGGAGAAACAATCATCTCTGGTCTCCTCGACACAGGAGCTGATGTAACAATTGTTGCTCTGCACGACTGGCCGACTGCCTGGCCCTTGGAAAATACGTTAATGAGTGTCTTGTGGGTGGGGGGAACACAAAAACTCCAAAAGAGTAAATTAATTGTTTTATTTACAGATACGGACGGCCAAACAGCAAGCTGCAAACCGTTAGTGTTACCTCTACCAACGACCCTCTGGGGGAGGGATGTGATGACAGCGGGGCACAAAAATTGAAACAAATTTTTAGGACTGGCCACTGGAGAGTAGCTGCTACCCGCCTTAAAATGGAAAACAACAACTCTGATTTGGGTAGACCAGTGGCTACTACCAACCAAAAAGCTGCTCGCCCTCCACCAATTGGTGGAGGAACAATTACAATTAGGCCATATTGTCCCCACTGTGAGTCCCTGGAACTCCCCTGTGTTTGTCATCCAAAAGGCGTCAGGGAAGTGGAGGTTACTCCATGATCTGTGTAAGATAAATGAGGTGATAGAATCGATGGGACCACTCCAACCAGGCATGCCGTCGTTATCAATGCTGCCTGAGGAGTGGCCCCTAGTTGTGATTGACATAAAGGATTGTTTCTTTCAGATCCACCTACATCCTTGTGATGTAGATAAATTTGCCTTCACCATCCCATCACTAAATGCGGGAGAGCCCAACCAGAGGTTTGCCTGGAAGGTTTTACCACAAGGTATGAAAAACTCACCGACTTTATGCCAATTGTATGTATCCAAAATTCTCTCACCAATCAGACGCCAAAATCCTAATTCGATCATTTATCACTACATGGACGACATTCTAATTTGTACCAAAACAAAGACTGAAGTTAAAAAGACATTGGAAGCCACAGCTGCAATTCTCAAAACCTTCCAGTTGCAAATCTCTGCTGAAAAAATCCAATGGGCATCTCCATGGTTTTATCTGGGTTGGAAGATTACACAGAAATCTATTACCCCACAAAAAGTATGTATCACCCATGACATACGGACCTTAAACGACCTCCAAAAATTACTTGGCAATATTAGTTGGATTAGACCTCAGCTTGGCATCTCTACAGATGAACGTCACCCACTTTACTCAGTGGAGATGCCTACCTGAGGTCACCCCGTTCTTTGACACCAGAGGGTGAAACAGCTCTGCAAAAGGTAGAAT